GATGACGAGGGCCTGCTCGTCACAAAAATAAATCAGTCTCACACCAGGATGCTTTTTGTAAAGGGTCTAGCAGCCTCAGGAGAGAGAGAAAAAGAAGCCCTCTGGAGCTGCAGCCCAGCATTTTTATTAAGAACAGTACAACAGTGTATCAATCATCATGCAAGGCAAACACCAAATATGGGGATCACCCCATTATCAAGCCATACAATAAGAACCAATCACCTTCCTTGCATGAGGCGATCACGCGCTCATCATGCCTAACACAGCCTGCAGTATCAAAAGGTCAAACTATAGTAAATTCCCATCCTGGCATCCATCTTGTCATGTAGGTACAAACAACCATTTTCCTACATGCCCTCTTTTCTTATTTGTTTTATGAAAAGTAAAAAATAAAATTTAACAAAACCTAATCAGAATCATTTGTTTCATTTCCTAAACGCTGATATCTTGCAATGTAAATTCCTCTTGTGACTCCAGTGGTAGGTCTTGGACGATACCACCAGGTACTACATTGAGCAAACAAAGAGGGTAGGCATTGAATGCAGCAACACAACACAATAAATCCTGCAACAAGCAAAATTACAATTAGTAAAATTTTCCTTAACCACACTCTATTAGGCAACCAGGAAGACAACCATTCCCATGGATCAAAACCTTCGGGAGGATTCAAAGGATTATGGGCTATCATTTGTTCCATATAATCAATAGTAGCAGAAATATTGGCCGATTGATCAGATATATACATACAACAATGGGAATGAATTAAAGCACAAACTCCACCTTTGGAAGCAAGGATTACATCTAAAGCATAACGATTTTCAAGAGTCACATCTCTCATTTCTGACATTTCTTTGTTAATTAATTTTAAGGCCAAGATAGTAGAATTAAACAAGGCTTCAGTCCAATTAGCCAATTTGTGCAAATCACGGTAATTCATGCCTGCACCTAAAGAGGGCAGGAGAGATCTAGAGACGGCTGTCCCTGTATATTGAGAGATAGGTGATCGCACTTCCCTTTTGTTACGCAAACGAACCACTGGGAGCTTGTCCAGTTTATAGACCAGGGGTATGACTATTCCTAAGGTGCACGTTCCAGAAAAGGCAAAGGGGATTTCTTTGTAGGCTCTAGTACCACAAAATAACCATAAATCAGATCGAAGCAAACATGTAGATTTGCTGCTTTTCTTCATCCAATCAAACCAAACATAAAAATCTCTACACATAGCCTGTTGTTCATAAGTCATGTTGGTCGTGACATTATTAACTAAAACTTTTGGCCTACCACTCATAGTGGTAACATTAAGAAAACAAGAAGATCCATTAACATACTCATAGGTCCAATTACAATATGGATAATGACCTAAAAATTTACTACTATTACGATTGAAATGAAAACAATGAGACGCTGTTTCTACAAGCGACAAAAACACAGGGGTGAACTAGTACGATTATCTTTCATATTATTACTAATCTTATATGAAGCATTTACAGGAATACCATGCAATAATATGCCAGATCTTTTTGATTGAGGAGGAATATGCATACACACCCAACATTCGGAAAGATTAAGTATAGAAGCAAAATTATTTATGTCCCTAACATATGTATTGTTGGTCCAAATCTGATGATAAAGTTCAGGCTTACGAGCCTTCTGCAAAAGAGCAGCACGACGAGAGCGGCGCTTCACAGTGTCCACGGAGGGGTAATTGGTAGTCATGGTGACTTCCCAGGGGGACGGGGGGTCAATGAGGTAGGGACGAAGATGACCTTTCGACGTGCCAGGAAACACCGGAACAGCTGTAGAAGGCGACTTTATCCAGGGTGCATCAATATGGCGATGTCTCCAACTGCAACGCGGGTTGAAGTCAGGTGGGAGGTCATCACTGGCAGACAGCGTAGAATATGATTTCAAGGCGTTGGTGTCTCCTTGGGCGAAGACGAGGCAACAGAAGAGCGCCAAGGTCGAACGCACCGAGCTGGAACCCATCGTGTTTCTCCGTCCACGTCAATGGCAGCGAATCCACGACCCCAGGAAAGCAATGAAGTTGGACCCTTCCACTGTGGATCTGGAAGCAACCTGTAAGACACTAGAGGGCGCTGCAGTACTTCTTCTTTCCTGAAATGAAGTTCAGCAGGCGTAAAATCCTTATTGTGAGGGTACAACAAATGATTTAAGGTAAACAATACTTGATACACAATATTAGGTATTTCAGAAACAGTAGCCGAGCGGCCTCCCAATTGCTTGTTGAGAAGAGTCTTAAAAGTCAAGTGGGAGCGCTCGACGATTGCTTGTCCTGTAGAATTGAATGGAATACCATGAGTCAACCTAACATCCCACAAAGAACAAAAATCAGAAAAGGCCTGAGAAATATATGCAGGGCCATTGTCAGTTTTCAAAGTATGGGGTTTTCCCATAACAGCAAAACAACGCATTAAATGTTGAATAACATGACGAGTAGTCTCTCCTTTCAAGGGCGTGGCCCAAATAAAACCAGAGGCAGTGTCCACAGTGAGATGTACTTTAGAAAATGGAGCCAAAGATGGCGTGTAGGTGACATCCATTTGCCAAATTGCCAGGGGATGCAAGCCTCTAGGGTTGACTGCATCATAAGGAATGACTGTGGGTGATTTGGAACACACAGCGCACTGTGACACAATGTCCCTAGCTTGAGAAATTGGTAATGAAAAGGATTTAGCTAACACCTTAGCATTTTGATGAAACACTGAATGACTCTCGAATGGGTCAGAAAATAAAGAAAAGATGCCATTCTTCAAAGCTTGATCTGCCCGGTCGTTACCTTCTGCCAAATAGCCAGGGTGACCAGTATGTGATCTAAGGTGTGCTACATAAAACTGACAAGTCCTAGCTTGTACCAAGCTCTGCAAAGTGGAGAATAATGCAAACAAATTATCATCAATGGCAGGAGTAATATACGACAATGGTAACACATTCAACAGATTATACACATACTGCGTATCCACAATGAGATTGAAAGGGATATCAGCAAATTGTTGGAAAGCTAAAATTACAGCTGCCAATTCAGCACGTTGTGCTGAGGATTGCTCAGTAGTATATAAACTTTTCCATTTCCCCTCCTCATCCCACACCACCACCCCCCTGGACTTAGTGCCATCGGTGAATACAGTGAGAGCGGAGGGTAAGGGTAGAGGGGACAAGGCAGTTCGCAGGACATAACGTAGCCCTGTAAGGAAAGACAAACGAGGGTCTCTAGGGGGATTGTGAATAATTTTTCCTAAGAAATCAGCAAAAGCTATTTGAGTAGGAACGGCTGTCATCATTAAATGCATGAATTCTTCCTGGGAGAAGGGCAAGTACACTGACTGTAAGTCCATTCCAGAGAGGGCAAGGGCCCGATGTCGGCCCCTGACAACAAGGTCCATGACGCTGTTGGGTGTAGCATACACATTACGCGGAGGAGTATGAGGCAGGTGAAGCCACTCCACAATAGACACAGTCCCAGGCTTCTGGCCTGTGGTGTACAATATAGCTGTTGGAAGGAGTGGGGTGGCAAACACTGCAAGAGATAATTGTGCCATGGAAAGGGAAGGGATCCTGTCCACCATACATCTGCGGAGATGGTTGTTCACAGTTGTCAAAGCCTCTTCCATAGCAGGGGTAACTGTGATCTTGCTTGCTGGATCCTTGTGGCCTTTAAGGGCAGAAAATAGTGGAGACAGAGTGGAGGTGGGCAGGTCCAAGTAACTCTTTATCCAATTTAACTGTCCAAGGAGTTGTTGCAAGTCCACCAATTTAAGATGATCAGGGAACTGTAGTTGAGGCGCAACTGGAATGGCAGCAGCAGCAGACAACTTATGTCCTAAATACGTAATAGGCAGGGTCCGCTGGATCTTTTCTTTAGCCACTGTCAATCCTGCTTGCATCAGAGCATGGGTCAAATCCTCGAGAAGAATATCAGAAATGTGCGATGAGGAAAGTAAAATATCATCCATGTAATGATAACAGGTGACCACAGGGTGGCGCTCACGGAATGGTTGAAGTGCCTTATCCACAAAATACTGGCACAAAGTTGGAGAATTTCGCATTCCCTGTGGGAGAACCACCCATTGAAAGCGCTGGGTAGGTTGGGAGTTGTTCAGGACAGGCAGGGTAAAGGCAAAACGCTGTCTGTCTTGTGGTGCCAGAGGGATAGAGAAAAAGCAGTCTTTGAGATCGATGACAGCAAGCTGATGGTTTTGTGGTAGCATGTTGGGATTAGGAATGCCGGGTTGCAAGGTCCCCATCGGTTGCATTTGTTCATTAACCCTTCGAAGGTCTTGGAGAAGACGGAATTTTCCAGATGCCTTTTTTCTGATGACAAAGATGGGCGTATTCCACGGGCTGGTGGAAGGTTCAATGTGCCCCAGTTCAAGTTGTTCTGAAATTAACTGGGCTGCCACTGCAAGCTTTTCTTTAGGCAAGGGCCATTGGTCTACCCACACGGGGGTGTCTGTGGTCCAGCAGAGAGAAAGCGCAGTCCGGGGCATGGCAGGGGCAGCCCTTAGCATAAATTTGTAGAAATGGTGGTATCCGCTGCAGCAAGCAGATCTCGCCCCCAAAGGGAGACAGGAATGTCCAGGATCAGTGGCAAAATAGTCATTTCAAAGCCTTGAGAGCCTTGAATCAAAATAGGATTCCTGCTGCGGCGGGCCGAGGCAGAGCCTCCAACGCCGACAACAGAAGAAGCTGGTTCGGTGGGCCAAGCAGGAGGCCAATCCTTGGAGGCGATCACGGAACAATCCGCCCCCGTGTCCAAAACCCCTTCAATCATGCGGCCTCCAAGGGTCATCTGGATCTTTGGGCGCTCCTCTGTGACTGAAAAAGTAGCGGCAACAAGAGGATCATGGTTCTGGATCGTCTCCGGAGCGCACACAATCTTGGCAATAGGAGAACCAGACGGCAAATGCGTAGGGCGATCAGAAAAGACAGTCACATAAGGGTCATTGTGTTGTAATCCATGTAACACATCTGGAACAAGATGGACCCCTTGCTGCAAAACCTCTGACAGTGGGAAGACAAGGCACTGTGCTGAAGAAGAAAAACCAGCCCCTGTTGACACTTGAGCCTGTTGTGGTACATAGGGGACTGGCAGGCATAAGTCCTGGGTTAGAGAAAGGTGAGGTAGTGCTGGCGGTGGAATGACCGGAGAACATGCTGAATCCCCTATTGTCGTGCCTGGGCCCGGGGTGGGCCCGACTGCCGGTTTCCCGTCAGTTGGTTTTGTTGATGTTGCTGTTTTTGTTGTTGTTGTTGACTTTGTCGAGGCACGGCAAAACGGCACTGGTTAGCCCAGTGAAAGCCTTTCTTACAAATAGGGCACTTTGTGCTAGGGCGGCATTGCTGCGTGATGGATCTGCACTGCGCACGAAAATGTCCCATTTTTCCGCAACCAAAACAAGTTTTGTCCTTGGCAGGATTCTGGGATACTGTAGAGGATAGAGCTGCGGCTAACAGACGGGCTTTGTGCGTCTCAGTGCCCACTGACTGGCAGGCCTTAAGCATATCTGCAATGGCAATATTTGGCGTTGTCATCAAAGGGCGCAGTGCTTGCTTACAGTCCTCATTTGCATTATCAAACGCAAGCTGGCGGACAATCACTTCTTGGGCTGCGACGTCCTGAACTTGCCGCTTGAGGGTGTTATACAAGCGATCGACAAATTGTCCATAAGGCTCTGCAGGGCCTTGCCGGACGCTGCCCCAACGTCCATCACGCTCAGTCTTTTCATCAGGCACAGCGGACAGGGCCTCCTGAGCGGCAGCGGTAGTGGCTTCCCAATACATGGGATCAAGGGCTAGCTGCTGGGCGATGGTAAGAAAATTGCCCCCACCTGTCAGGCCGTCAAAAACATCAGTATGGGTCAACATAACAGGGGCTGGAGGTGGAGCGCCAGCGGCGGCAATCGCGGCTTGGTGAGCTGCCTGCGCAGCATTGTTGAGATTGTTGCGAATGCCATCAACGCGACGTTGGCAAGCCCAATGCCAAGCTTGTATAAACAAAATCATTTGATGAGGCTGCATAACAGTGCGGGCTAATAATTTTACATCCTCTGGTATTAGATTTTGCTGAAAAATAGTGCCAAAAAGTCCCAGGGTATAAGGAGAATGTAAGCCATTGTCCCTGACAGAGGAATACAGTTCCTTTATGAATCTTAAATCAAACTGTTCGTGGCGGGCTGGGCCTCCCCCCACGGCGGCAGGAACAATTACAGGAAAAAGATTTGGTGTGGCAGAATCAAAAGCCAGCAATGGAGCAGCGGCACGGAGAGACTCTTGAAGAGGAGTGGTAGCAACGTTGGGCACCCCTGGTGAAAAAGCTGGAGGAGGGGCAGAGGGAGGCGGTGGCAGGACAGTAGGAACCGAAGGAGAGAGATCCGGTGGTTTAGGAGGTACATAAACTGGTGGTTTCGAAGAAGGCAACGGTTGGCATAAAATTGGAGAGGGAAGAGGCAAAGCAGCAGGCGAAGAAGCCAAAAGGATATTAGCTGGTGTCAGGCAGGACATCGCTTTATAAACTTTAAACCATGCAAGCAGAACCTTGACATTAATTTGAGGATGGTTATGGAAAAAATGTCCTATTTTCTCCCAGTCTTTTAAATCCAAAGTGCCATCCTGAGGAAACCAGGGGCAATGAGTGTCCAAAGCTAGAAGAAGTGCCTTAAGATCGGCATCCGAAACAGCAAGGTTGTTACTGGCCAGAAGAAATTTAAGTTCATCAAAAACTTCTTTTGTGGCGCTGAAAGAGACTGCCCCATGATAGCAAGAGTAGTGAAAAAAAATCACAGGGATCCACAAAGGATGAAAAGGAGCGAAAAAAGGGAGCACCCACCGGGATCCTAGGAGAGGATGAGCGGTACCTGAAGCCCTGGCCGGGCGTGGTGGACGCTGAGAAGGCCGCAGCGACGCGAAGTCCGAAATCAGTCGAAGTCCAAAGGAAAGGGAGCGCTCACCGGGATCCGAAGCGGATGAAAGACGCGTGGCGAGCGCTGAACGATGAGAAACAACGAAGAGTCCGAGGGTAGTCACACGGGGCACCAAATGACGAGGGCAGGGATGACGAGGGCCTGCTCGTCACAAAAATAAATCAGTCTCACACCAGGATGCCTTTTGTAAAGGGTCTAGCAGCCTCAGGAGAGAGAGAGAAAAAGAAACTCTCTGGAGCTGCAGCCCAGCATTTTTTATTAAGAACAGTACAACAGTGTATCAATCATCATGCAAGGCAAACACCAAATATGGGGATCACCCCATTATCAAGCCATACAATAAGAACCAATCACCTTCCTTGCATGAGGCGATCACGCGCTCATCATGCCTAACACAGCCTGCAGTATCAAAAGGTCAAACTATAGTAAATTCCCATCCTGGCATCCATCTTGTCATGTAGGTACAAACAACCATTTTCCTACATTCTTCGTTCTCCTTATATAGATCTTCATAAAATTCCTGGAAGGTTTTCTTTATTTCCTTCGGGTCTTCTGTTTGATGTTCTCCTACTTTTATTTTATTTATCACATTGTTTTTGTCTTTTTCGTAATTGCCATGCGAGGAGTTTCCCTGTTTTGTTGGCTGATTCAAAAAATTTCTGTCTCATTAATTTAATTTTCCATTCCACTTCTTGATTAATATCGAAAATTGGGTTTGTAACATCTTAATTACTTGCTTGTTCTGTTCATCTTTGGGTTTTATCGTTAATTTCTTTTCACACTCATCCAACTGGGCCAGAATTTCTTTTTTCTTTCAACTTTCTTCTGTAATTATTTTGTTGGATCAGGAAACCTCTTATAACAGCTTTGCTCGCATCCCAAACAATGTCCAGGTTTGTTTCTTTATTTAAATTCCATTTAAAATATTCTTTCAAAGTCTCCTTGGCTTTTTCAGTTACTTCTCAATTCTCAAAAAGATTTTCATTCATCCTCCATCTATAGGTGCTTTGCTCATTACTTTTTACCTCTAGAATTATGGGGTTGTGGTCTGATAATGTTTGTGGCAATATTTCACATTTTAATATTCTTGGAGTTAAATCCCTTGAGGCCCATATTAGGTCTATCCTTCCCCAACTTTGATGTGGCTCTGAAAAAAAAGTAAATTGCTCTGTGGTTGGATGTTTGAGGCTCCAAACATCTATTAAGTCCAAATTTTCCACAAGATTGAAGAGTGACCTTGGTAATTTACCTTGTTTGGCTTTTTTCTTTTTTGTTAGTCTGTCCATTTCTGGCATCACCACACCATCACAGTCTCCCATTAATATTATCTTCTGATCAGCCATTTCTATCAGTCTTCTAACTTATAAAATTCTACTTTGTGTTTGGAGCATAAATTGCAACCACATTGATTTTCCCCCCTTGATAATTAATTTGTACCCCTATTACTCCCCCTTCTTCATCTTTACAGATAAATTTTGGTTCCCATTTCTCTTTAACATATAACACCACCCCTCTTTTCTTGTTCACATTTGAGTTAATAAATTCCAAGCCTAACCTTTTGTTTTTCAAAATGTGTTTGTTTTTAGCAACATGGGTTTCTTGTAAACAAATTACGTCAGGTTTTTTCCCCTCAAAAGATTCTCAACTTTATTTCTCTTAGATTTCTCATTTAATCCATTCACATTCCATATTATATATATTCAGATCAGCTGTAATTAAAATTAAATTCAAATTCGAGTGGTTTTGTCCCTAAGATTCTCCTCCTATTTCCTCTGCTTCCTCTTCTTCCCCTTCCTCTTTTCCCTCCTCCCTCTCCCTCTCCTTCTTTCTTCCTCCTTCTGAGTCAATCTCCTTTCCTCCGGATTTGTAGGCAGGCCTGTCTTCTTCTACCTTTCCTAACTCTCTCTCATATCACCTTGTGAATTTCTTCACTTCTTGAATGTCGGTCAGCCTAAATCTTTTGTCTTTATAGTAAAAAGAAATCCCTTCTGGGAATTCCCACCTATGTTGTACTCCATTTCTTTTCAGCACACTCACCAATTGCTTATATCCATCCCTCTTACGTAAAAAGCTAGTGGGGATTTCTTTAAAAACAATAATAGGCCTACCATCAATTACCAGGTTTTTTTTGGTAACTCATTTTCAATATTGCATTCCTCATGTCTAGTGAATTAAATATGATTAGGCAATCTCCTGGTACTTTTTTTTTATTTAGCCTTTAGAGATCTTACTTTTATTCTAAATGTGTTCTCCACTGTGTATTCAACAACTTCTTTCATGTCCATCCATCTTGCCAGTTCCTTGATCATTTTAACTTTTATATTTTCATTCACTTCCTCCCCTACTCCTCTAAATTTCAGATTCAATTGTTTCTGTCTCATCTCCAACATAGCTAAACTGTCCCAGAGCTGCTCCTGGGTTTTATTCAGATCACCCATTTCCTCCTTAATCTTCTCTGTCTCTTTATTTTCCTTCACTTCTTTTTGAATTCTTTTGGTTGATTCTTCAATTGTCTTCGATGTAACTGTCAAATCTTGCATTTTATTTGAAAGTTTCCCTACCACCCATTCTATTTTTTTATCCAATATTGCCTGAACCTCTCCTAACTTTTTCTCCATGTGTTGTTCATTTTGTTTGAATTCTTCCTTCATCTTCAACCACAAATTGTCCAAATCTTTAATTTCTTCTTGTCTAGAGATTTTCCTTTCTCCTGGGGTCTCCCCAATCTTTTCCCCATTTTCCCCTGACATTATAATCAATTACAATACTTCTGTATACCTACAATAAAATTCAGTAAAATTCAATTTGTTTCTGGTACTGTACTAACCAGTTTTGACCTCTAGGCAGAGTACCTTCCGCAATATAACACCTTCAAAATATATATAACCAAGATAGCCCTTGGCAGTACACCATCTGATCTTAACATGCATAAACACTCTGAACCTGCAAATACACTCTATACCTCTAGATGTCCCCCTCACACTCTTTTCCTTCCACAACTATGCGCTTTTATCTCTCCCCCTCCCAATCCACATTAATTATCTCAGGGTTTAAAGCATCTTTTGCAATCAATCAAATTAATAAAATTAATAACATTAAGAGTTACTTAAGGGGTTCTATCAAATTGTCCCAATTATAGTTTAATTTGAGAGTTCTCTTCTGTTCTAATCTTTTTATAATTCTTGACTCAGTTTCTCAATATCCTTCAGCCACTTGCAGGCCTAATCCATCACAATATAAACACACACACAAAAAGAAGACCAAGCCTTGTGGTTCCAAATCTCTATACTTGCCAATACTTAAAGTCCAAATTTCAAAGTTCCCCAGTTCCAGAAACTAAATTCCAAATTTTTATTTTCCCTCTTCTTTACCCTCTTGCTGGCTTAATCCATTAGAGCGTAACAGATTATGTCCAAGCCCAATATCCAAATATCAAAACCCAAAATTAAAATTCTAATTTTAATTATTTTTTCTTAGCCTCTTGTTGGCTTAATCCTCATGGGGAAGGTAGAAGAAGGAAAAAAGGGAAACGTCAGCGGAACGGGTTCTCCCCCGCCCCCCCAATTTTTTCTTTTCTCACAGTAAATGTAGAATATAAATTAAGGGGGAATAAATGTTTATAACATATACCACTGTAAGCGTAGATTAGCTGCTGGAACAGAGGGCATGATAAAAACAATAAAGTTCTTAAATTCAAGCCTTCTTTACCACTTTAAGTTACCTCTTTAATTGGATCTATTTTTTTAAGTCTTTTAAATCTTTAGTCCTTTTCCCATTTGTGGAGCCTGTCTTCCTCATATACAACCTCCAAAAAGGCAATACAAAGTCTCTATTTGACTCCTTTCAGTCTTTTGTTTCAAATTAATCCTTTGCCTCGGCACATTGTTGCAGAGGACTTTAGCTTTTGTACTCACTCAGCAGGAGCCTTTTCTTCTTTGTTCTTGCAACTTTTTATCTCTGCGCCATTTCCTCTCCGCTGCTGGGATGGACTCCCTATTTTATATTCCACAGCATCTGAATCTTCAAGTTTTCTTTCAAATTTTTCGGGATAAAAACATCCTGTAGTTGCTTTAGATTCAGTCCATTTAAGTTTTGGAAGTTTACCGCTTTCAATAGAAGCTAGAGACAGCTCAGTGCGGGGGTGGGGGTGCTTCCCTTTTGCATCCGCCACTCCGTCCCGCTCTCAGGCTGTAAAAAAAAAAACAACTCAAGAAAACAGTAGAGCAGCTGTAACGCTGCTGGATGCCCCTGTCCCCCAAGGAGATTCACCTTGAGGTTTGGGGGTGTGCAGTGCCCTTGCGCCGCTCCCGGAGCCCCCACACTGCTCGAAAAACCTCAGAGAGGTTTTCTGCGCTTCCACAATGTCCATGGGTAAGCAGGAAGTCATTTCAAAGAGAGTCAAGTAACTCAACACATTGGTGGGGGGTTGGTATTTAGGGAATGCCCTCCAATTAAGGTTGCTCAGAGCAAGCCCTGGAGGAGACGGTCTGGCAATTACTCCTCGTGGCTCTGGGCTGTAGTCATACTTTGGAGCATAACAATAACAAGGCGCCTGCCCATTCGGACACTGGCAGTCCTCCTCTGCGTATCCACGCAAGGGTTTGGTGTGAGGTTCAACCTCCTCGTACCGTCGCACAGGTGTCCCAAGCTCTTCCTGGCGAGTAGACCTGGATTGGGCTAGGCGAACGCCGTCTCACTGATCTGCGACTGTTGCGCGATGGACGCTCCAGATTGCAGTTTCTTACAGATGCGTTTTGTTGTTGTTGTGGCAAGTCTCAATACTCATAGGCCATCCGGCTGGTTCTTGGGCCCATAATGATGGACTGGCCCATTCTGGGAAATTTCTCCCGGCACCGAAATCCTCCTTGAACTGGATCTGGCACCCACTCCACAGCTTCACCGGCTGAAAATTCCATTTCTTTCGGCTCAGCATCGACAAGATAGTTTCCTCTAGGACGTGTAGAGGCCATCCCAGCTTCCACTTTCTCACGAGGTGACAATTGTTGATTAAACAACGCACCCATTGCTCTTTGAGAGTTGCAGGACTCTCACCCACCCGTCCGAGCAGTTCTTAATTGGCTGGCGTCTGCCAGTCCCTCTTCCTCCTCGGAATCCGCCGAAAACCAGGAGGAGGAATCCGCTTTGGGACTCGGAAGTTGGGGGGGGGTCTGCTGCAGTAGGAAGAGAGTTACTCTCTCCACCCGGCCCCCATTGATCCAACGTTAGCATTGTATTTTCATGTGGGGGCTCCGCCTTCCATGATGCCTAACTGTTTACCAGAAGAAGAAAAAATGTCTGCAACCTATAAGAGTGCTTTTCGATCCCACAACGCTGCCAACATGTAGTAATGCTCCGGCCACTCGCCCCTTCGTCACCTGTCCTACCATCCAGCTGGATCAGGTTTAGAGGAACGACTGTCGGAGGCATATACTTTTCACACCCAGACAGCCTTGTTAGGTACCACTAACCAGCTTGGAGAGTTTCCTGCCTGAGATAAGCAAGTCACACTTTCAGAGACTGTTAGTCTGCAGGTTTAAAGTAACAAGGACACACTTTCCCCCATAAATTCTATGGCCTTTGGTCTTCCCATAATACTTTGCTTCTTACTTGACCAAAGTTTTGTCTATTGAGATTTCCTAACTTCACTACACCATCTGAATTGGTCCCACCTCCCCGCAGTGAAGAAGGGTCGTGGAGAAGTCCAGTTGCACCAGGAAATGATCTGACCATGGCACTTCTTTTGTTTCGCTTTTAGTTAGTGTCAGATCACCAACATCCATAGAGGTAAACACCAGGTCTAAGACATGTTCGCGGCTATGAGTTGGGCCAAACTTACTCAGGGACAGCCCCATGGAGGCCATGCTTTCCACAAAGTCCTGAGCGGCCCCTTGTAAGGTTGTGTCGGCATGGATTTTAAAATCCCCCAGGACAACCAAACTAGGTGTCTCCAGGAGCATATCCGCCACGACCTGAAGCAGCTCGGGCAGGGAATCATTGGTGCAGCGGGGAGGTCGGTACACCAAAAGGAATCCTGTACTGCCCCTATTGCCCAACTTCCAGAACATGCACTCAGAAAACTGGGTCTTCCTAATAGGATGCTTGGTGCAGACTAATGACTTCCTAAAAATCACTGCAACCCCCCCTCTCCGCCCACATGACCTGGGTTGCTGTGCGTAAGAGAAACCTGGTGGACAAGCAGCGGCAATGAGGCCCATCTGCTTCATCCAACCACATCTCTGTCACACATGCCAGGTCAAATCCTCCATCCACAATCAGGTTGTGGATGGCAGTGGTTTTATTCATTATTGACCTGGCATTGCACAGCAACACTTTCAGGTCATGTGGTTTTCCCTTGCTGATTTCAGTATCCTTCTGGTCAGGACCAGACCTGGAGGCAGGGATAGTCCTCAAACGACGACTAAGCCTGCCTCCTCGGTGATGACATGGTCTGGTCTTAGCATAACTCCTCCTGCCCATCACTGAGATCGGGTGTCCCAATATATCCCCCCCCCCTGTGAAACCTGCCCCAGCCATTCTATTGGCTGAGGCCCACTCCCCGGCAGCACTGACCCTTCCCCTTAAAAAGCAAAATACAATAACTTGACAAAATAATAAAAGTAAAAACAAAGCAAGAAACAATTATACTAAAATTAAACTACTCCCCACCCTGACTAAATATTTATCCTGCCCCAAGCAGAAATAAAATATATTATAAAAAAACACCATTTGAGGTGCAGCAAATTAAGAACACTTAAAGCATTTAAAACCATTTTCGTCACTTGCTGCAGGGAGCTGCTCGGGCCTCTTAAGCTGTGGCGGCGAGTGCAGGCCCCGCCCCCTAGGCCTTGTTGAAATGTATATTTCAACATTTTTTTCAATTCATTATAAATCTCCTAGAAGTCTTTCACCTTGGGGCAGGTCCACCACATATGATAAAAGGTACCTTCTTTTTCTTTACATTTCCAGCATAGATTCATTTTCATAATTTCTTTAACACCGTACATGCAGTGAACTTGACCCCTTTCCTCCACAACCTTTCCCAATCTTTGAACGTTATGTTATGTCCCACATCTCTTGCCCAGTCTATCATCACAGATTTAACTTGTTCATCCTTTGTATGCCATTCCAACAATAAATTATACATTTTAGACAAGTTTTTAACTTTAGAGTCCAACAACGCTGTTTGCAACTTAGTTTTTTCTGAAGCAAAACCATTTTTCTTAACTAATTTATAAAGTTCGTTGATCTGGTAATAGTGTAACCAATTTATTTTATCTTTGATTTGATCAATTGGTTTTAATTTATAGCCTTCTTTATTTTCCAGTAACAGATCAGAATATCTCAACCACTTGGTTTCCATATTTAAGTTTTTCTGGGCCTTTGCCTCCATTGACGAAAGCCATCTGGGTGTTTTCCTTTCTAAGAGATCTTTGTATTTTATCCAAACATTATATAACGATTTTCTAATTACATGATTTTTAAAACCATTATGGGCCTTTACCTTGTCATGCCATAAATAAGCATGCCATCCGAACACATTGTCAAATCCTTCCGAGTCTAAAACATCTGCATTATCTAGTTGAATCCATTCCTTAACCCAGCAAAGAGCGGCAGCTTCGAAATCTTCAAATCTGGCAGGGAGAATCCCCCACTTTGTTTTGAATCCATTAATAATTTGTACTTAATTCTGGGGTTTTTCCCCTGCCAGGTAAATCTGCCATTCTTTAAAACATTTCACATTGTAAATAATTGGGAGGGCTTGGAACAAAAACAGCATCTTGGGCAATACATTCATCTTAACCACTGAAATCCGGCCTACCTCCTTCTGAATCTGAGTGACTTTTATCTGCAAAAAAACTTTGCAAAAGCATTGCAGGAGATCTTGGGGTCCATGCCATGCCCCGATGTAGCAGGTGGTTCCGCTAAATTGCGAACCACCTGAAAAAGTCTCCTGCTGCTGTTTTCTGCAGATGCAATAGAGGCGGTGAAGAAAGTCTTCTTCTCCGTCACTACCACTGCTTGGTAGGCTCGACATTGAGCTCTAACCTGTGTCCGGTCAGCTTCAGAATGAGTTACCCGCCACCGGCGCTCTAGCCATCTCAACGATTGTTTCATTGCCCTCAGATCTGTGGAAAACCACGGGGCTGTCTGGGCTCCATTTAATTGGAGAGGGAGCTTCGGAGCCAAACAGTCATAGCCCTGGTTAACGCCACATTCCAGTGGGTCACCAGGGAATCAGCTTGAAAGGCCATCAACATGGGATAAAGCATCCCCTACCACACTCTGGAAACCATTTGGATCCATTAAGTGGTTTTTATCCATTATGATAAAAGTGTATTGGCAATAAGTAATATGAAATTGAAATATGGAATAGATGGGAGGTTGGGTCTTTATAGTGTTAAGACCAATTTATGTTTTATCTTTTAAGAAAATTATGTGTTTATGGTTATTCCTGTGTGTAATTTGGTATTTGTTTTCTCTTTTCTTGCTGTATCAATAAAAAACAAACATAAGGCTTGTACTCTATATGTAGAAGTTCATTTGAAAAAGAAAAAAAATAGCTATCTATTTTTTAAATTATTTTTTTCCATTTTATTTATGTATAATGGATGTATCTACGTGTTTGCAATAAAGAAATTTAAAAAAGGAATGGGAGACCACATGGTCTAGCTCAGGCTTCCTCAACATCGGCCCTCCAGATGATTTAAGACTACAATTCCCATCATCCCTGACCACTGGTCCTGCTAGCTAGGGATCATGGGAGTTGTAGGCCAAAAACATCTGGAGGGTCCATGATTGATAACCTCCATTTCAAAACTGACCACCTCAAGGGATCGGCCAATTCCAGAGTACAGCATAAAAGCTCCACCCACTAGAGGCCAGATATTTTATTAAGCAAATTAGGCTTCAGTGTTTTCCCTACAGTGCCTAAACCAAAAAGAACATACACCTGGAATCAATACTGTTGTGGCCAATTTTTATAATCCCAGAACTTTGTCTTTTCCAGTTTGTTACCTTGGCTCAGGCCTTGCTCTGGAGTGGGGGTTCACTGCGAGTTGGTCCGCAATGCAACACAGAAAAGGTGCAAACAAAACAAACAAGCACACAACTTTTCTAATTATAAATTTAACACTAAAAAGCAGATCAAAACGAATTTCCAGTGGGGGAAAAATAACAGGCTACAGTATCTCCTACAGCCATAATTGTTAAAAGCTTAGGGTGAGGTCTAACAACAAGAACCACCTTTCATGTAGGAACCAAGTGTCCTTTCTCAGTTGTTGGTGAAGCTCATAAATATGAGACATGCTACTGCTCCCAATTATATTGGGCCTGGGTACTGTGATGGCTTGTGAATGCTCTCCGCAAGAAATGCCTCTGCTCACTCAGAGATACATATATACAGTCTTTGTTTTACATATGTACAAGCAGCACGTTACAGTCATGCATCTGAATCCTCCGGCTCAGATTTTGGGCGTGCCTTATGCCCGCCCCTTCTCCAACAGAAAAGGCGTGGAATTTTCATGGGATGTCTCTGCCCCCTCCTCTTTAACACACTTGTTTCCTTGGCAGACGGAACAGGCATTGTTTCACTGTCTGTGCCAGAACTTCCTGTGCGGTGTTGAGGCTCTGGTCCAACATCTATGAGCTGTCCCTCCTCCTGGCTTTCCCTTCTTTCCTCCACCGCCACTTCCTGCCCCCCTTCCTCTTCCTGTCTTCTCCTCCCCTTCATTCTCCGGCAATACCATGACAGGTACCCACACCGCGGGGGCCTTTCGACGTGACTTCTGGGTTTTTACAAAGCAGCAGACATCGTGTCCCAAGGCCTTTCGTGCCCTCCGATGCTGCTCCCAGGTGGTACATGTAATTGTCATGACATGTTACTATTGAGGGGGTCGCTTTCCTCAGTCCTCCTCCCAAGCTTTATTGGCATCCCTTATGGCACCAGCTACAGACATCCAACAGCAGTCTAATCTACAGCGTGTTCTCTCCCTCCTTGCGGCAGGTTAACTCGACGAAACGCCTCAATTAAATAGTCTCTTAAATCCTGTTTGCCTTCTTCTGGGACACCTCTCTGCCTAACAACCAATTCCCTCGGTTTCATTTCCAAAACTGCAATTGCGTTCCAAGGTGTTTCCTGCATGGTGCAGGTTCCATCAATATCTACCCTTAATTGTTCTTGGTCTTTTTTCAGGTTCTGGGTCTCAGATTGCAGGATTTTTTAAGGTTTTTTCCTCCATGCCCTTTACTGATACTTCCTGTTGTATAGTGGGAAAGATGGGTGACAGACACAGCTCTTTTAAGCAACAGCTCTTTATTACAGCAGTTAGCACTGCTCTAAGTCTCTCTGAACAATAGTGAAGTTGGCTGCCTTATATAATGCTCAATAACTTGTAACAGTAATGAATTCCAACTAACTACCCAATTGGTGAAAGCAACTCTCAATCCTTCATTTGCATACTGGTGGCCCAGAGTGAGAACTGCAGCCAGGCTGAATACATAACACTTCCAAAGCAGAGGTTTTTTTGTCAAGGCTTTAATTTGGCCTGTCAAATCCAAAACTGATTTTGTATTCTTTTCGATTTGAGTTGCCAAAACATTCACATTTTCCTTCATATCTTTATATATCTTTCCTCAGTTCTGCTAAAAGCTCCGCCATCTCCGATCTAGATTCCTCCTCCTGAGCTGAAGACTTTCTGCTCTGGGTTGGTGTTTTGGGGGGGGGGGGTTGGCAGCCATTTCCACTCCTAATTTTCACTCAGATGAAACAAATAGAGTGCAAAAATTAATCCATCTTTTGTGCACCTTAAGGTACCCCTTTACTCCCACCTTTCCTAGCCTCTTTATTGTTTTTTAAAACTTTTATTTTACTTAAAACAAGTACATATAAATATAGACAACCAAAATTAAAGGAAAATTCCTTAATAGTAATGAAAAAAAACTGGGGAAAAAACTACAAAAAATATTGAAGTACATGACACAGAACATAAGCAACTATGGGAAAGATAAAAGAAAAAGATGAGCCAAAGCAGGAAAGCGCATCTATTGTACATGTCCGTCAAGCTCACAACAGATCATTATTCTTATCAATTCTCTCTATCTGCATTCCAAAGGAATCCCTCATCTTGGTATCAGGGAGCATTTCTCTATGCGGTATCATTCTAAACATAGCCAGGTCTTTCTTGTTAAGCCCTTGTCCCCTAAATAATTATTTAGACATTCCCATTCTTCTTTCACCATTTTTTAAGGTTTATCTCTTATTGCATCTGTCAGCTTTGTGAGCTCCAAGTACTCGCACAATTTGACTACACATTCCTCTTTAGTGGTTGTATTTTTATCTTTCCAGTGTTTTGCCACTATAACTCTTGCTGCTGACGTTGCATACATAAATAGCCTAGTTTTGTTTTTGGGAATATTATCTGAAACCATTCCTAGTAAAAATTCTTCCGGTTTCTTGCAAAATGTAGTTTTCATCAATCTCTTTATCTCTTCATAAATCATATTCCAAAATCTTTCATCTCTAGACAGGACCACCACATATGGTAGTATGTTGCTATCTGTTCCTTACATCGCCAGCACTCGTTATTGTTTGATTTATTTATTTTTGCAAGTTTTACAGGGGTCAGGTACCACCTATAGTAGATTTTCATAAGATTTCCCCTTATAAGGAAACAAGCCATGAATTTTATATTTTTAGCCCATAATTCATTCCAAATATTGGGTTTGATCATATGTCCCAGGTCCCTCTCCCATTTTACTGTAATTTCTTTGATATCTTCCTCCTTTCTTTGCCAATTCAAAAGTAGTTTGTACATTTTAGAAAGTATCTTTTGATTATTATATAAAATATCCTTCTCCAGATAGGATATTTTTTTGTCAAATCCTTTGGTTCTTTTATCCTTTTCAAGGGCGGCTTTTAGTTGATAGTACTCCAGCCAGGTTATTCCCTTCTGTTTCAATTCGCTTAGGCCCTTTATTTTCGGATCACTACTTGTTTCCTCTACTAAATCCTTATATGTTAGCCAATCGCTGTTCATATTTATCCTGTGAACTGACATAGATTCCATTGGTGACGGCCACCATGGTGTTTTGGTTACTATTGATTTTTTACTCCTCTCCCATACTTCATATAATGCCCTTCTCACAATATGGTTTAAAAATCCTTTGTGGGATTTAACCTTGTCATAGCCTATGTAGCCATGCCACCTGTACACAATATCCCATCCCTCCAGATCTAGGACTTCTGTGTTTTTGATTAATATCCAGTCCTTAATCCATGTCCAGCACGCTGCCTCAAAGTACAGTTTAAGGTCAGGGACCACAAAGCCTCCTTTTTCCTTCAACTCTGTTAGTAGCTTAAATTTTATGCGTGGTTTTTTCCGTTGCCAAATAAACTTGGCAAGGTCTTTCTGCCATTCCTTAAAACACTTTACACCTCTAATTATAGGTATTGTTTGGAACATAAAAATCATCTTTGGCAATACCATCATTTTAACTGTAGATATTCTCCCCCATAGGGACAAATTCAATTTTCCCCAAATCTCTAATTCTTTTTTTATTTCCTTCCACTTCTCATAATTGTCCTTATATAAGTTTATATTCTTATTGGTGATCCAAACCCCCAAATAATTTACCTTATTGGCTACATTTAAACCTGTTGTATTTTCCAGTTCCTCTTGTTCCGACTTACGTAAATTTTTCATTAATAATTTGGATTTTCCTTTATTCAGTTTGAACCCAGAGACCTTACCAAATTCTTCCAGTTGTGCAAGCATTTTTTGGATACTTTCCACTGGGTTTTCAGTGGTTACGATTACATCATCTGCAAAGGCTTTAATTTTATAGTATTGAGTTCCCAGGTTAATTCCTCTTATGTTTTTATCCTTTCTTATTGCTATTAAAAGTTTCCTAGCCTCTTTAAATAGCTAACAAATCTCACACCAAATATAAAAAATGGTCTAGATGTTTTCCCCTTTGTCTTCTAGTTTTCCAAAATCCTTCAGTCAGTCTCAGTTCTCAAAAGCTCTGTCTCAAAGGAAGAAGAGCTATTTTAAACCTTATCACTGCACGTCAAGGCCACCAAGGTTGGTTTGCATGAATTACAGAGAGCCTTTATATCTTCTACCATCTGTCCCCCCATCTTCCCATCAGACATTTGTATTAATACGAATTGATATGTTCACAAACTTAAACTTACAAATTTAAAGACAGTAGAAAACGCATAAAATCAAAAATTGAAAGAAAGAAGAAACAACCTACTTTCCCCAGTAGGATTCAAATTAACAGAGGAGATGGGTCAACAGTTCCTTTTCTTCGGTTCCACAGGAATCTGCAAAACAACTCAGATCTCCATTTAAATGTACCAGGTTTTAAAATAGCAGTTAATGTCTCCAATAATGACAAATGGAACAGATCTCCTTCAGTGTCAAGTCTGTCCCTGGTTTTAGTTCAGTCTTATCTGCCACAGTTAAGATCCACTTTATTGCTCTTAGATTGTAAATATTGCTTTTTATTCACTCTCTGAGCTTGCTGCAGTTAGCTAAATCAATGATACCAGCCTTACTTGTAAATCCAGGATATAGTAATAAATACAGAGTCTCGCATCACCTCTAAAGTTCCAAGAGTAGAAATAAAGAAATAAAAATGAGACAAATAGCCCTAATAGGTTCCAAGTTCCAAACTCTTGAAGACACTCTTAAGTTTAGGTTCAATATCAATGTATTAATCCAAGATCTCCAGCTCACATCTCCCAAGTTTGTAAGCTTTTAATCATGGATCTCAAGTTCATGTTCCAAATAATAATAAAAAGAGATAGAAATGAGGAAAAAAATCCCCAATGGGTCTGGATTCCAAGTTCCAAGCTTGTGGAGAGAGTCCAAGTTCAGGGTTAATTAATCCAAAATCTCAAGATCACTTCTCAAGTTCATGTCTTAATAAGATTTATTAAAGAAGGGATTCGGTCTGCTTTTGTTCCAAACTTTTCATTAACAACGCTTTGAATCCAAAAGTAGAACAGAAGCTTTTTCACTTGTAAAGTTTCCCCATGCAGGGTAAATTATCCAGAAATGGGGGTGAACTTTTTAACCTACCGTCTGGAGCCTGATTAATAAATCCAATTTAAATTCAAATTCTTTACCTTCTGAGTCTGCATTGAAAGCTTTTTGGAAAGAGAGTCCACTGTTGGCAGGAATTTGAAGCTTCACTCTGCAGAGTTGCGTTGGAGCATAGTGCGCTGGCTCGCTCACAGCCACCACTCCCACTCTGCACCTTTTGGTACAGAGGTAGATGCAGCAGCCAGAAAGCCATTTCTGTGGGTTGCAGGACCTCTAGACACCTCAGAGCACCCCCTGAGGCTTTTTTGGGGATGCGCCTCGCCTTCACACTTACCCTTCCCTCTGCGGAGCTCAAGTCCGTCGGAGCGATCAGGCTTGCCCTCTGTTTGCTGTTACACGGCTATCCGGAAGTAAGAGAAGCAGGAGTTGATCAAACAAACAGGAAAAGTTTTATTGAACAAAGGAAGTTTATGACAAAAAGTGGGTTGGGAAATGAGCTCTTTCAGGTAGAATTCAACTTATAGCTAAAGGAACTAAGATGTCTCAGGCTTAAACACAATATTATAGGTACTCCTCCTCTTAAACTTCAGTTACTAAACATCGGTTGGTACACTTTAGGTAGATAAATACCCAGGTTTCCAGAAGAGATGGTACAGTGGTGCCTGGCAAGATGAAATTAATCCGTTCCGCGAGTCTCTTCGTCTTGCAGTTTTTTCGTCTTGCGAAGCATGGCTATTAGTGGCTATTAGCGGCTTTAAGAAAAAGGAAACAAACTCGCAAGAACTCGCAAGACGTTTCGTCTTGCGAAGCAAGCCCATAGGGAAATTCGTCTTGCGGAACGACTCAAAAAACGCAAAACCCTTTCGTCTAGCGAGTTTTTCCGTCTTGCAAGGCATTCGTCTTGCGGGGCACCACTGTAAAATGTTCAAATCTGTTACGTTGTGGGTGAACATATCAGACGACACAGCGATTCTTCAAACAGCTCTTGTTAATTCACAGGCCAGAACAGAGCTGAACTGAAGGGTTCAGCCAGCCTGCTTATATAGAGCTCCACTAGAATGCAACAGTAACCATTTTCTGTAACTATCCAATCACTGAATTTCACTCTCAATCCCTTATTTGCATATGTGGACCTGAGTGAAAACTATCTACAGTATCCCCCTGCTGGCCCAGGGTGAGAACTTCAGTACATAACAAAATCAGTGTCTGTAATTGGGAGGATTTAACGTCCACTGACTGGGAACGTGTATAGTGCTGGGCCTTAGTTGTATTATTATGTGGCCCTATCTCTCCTCTGTATATGGGGTGCACAGTGGTGCATCAAGGTTTCTGGGTAGCTGGTTAGCAGGGTGTGGTTGTGTTGCTCCCCCAATTCCAGTGGTGGTGAGTGCTGCTGGGCAGGGGAAGGTGCACATGGGTGACCACCATCGGGGACAGAGGCTTTGGTGTTTAGTCGCCATTCTTTGTTCCTGCCCTCTCACTACCAGAAGCTACAGGTAGCATATCAGTTAAGCTTTCTAGAAAAACAAAAAGGGTATAGACTGGTCTCTTTGGGGAGGATATCTTATAAATGGGGAGTTGTCACTGAAAGGGGCAGGATTAACAGTGACCAAAGACAAACTTGGAGAATGTTGAAATTCCTGCAATCGACATACTTTAATAAATGTCTTGTAGAATAACTAACACACAGGGATTTTTAAAAAATTAGTTTTCTATATATATGTAACATTTGTAGGTATATGCATTATAATTCCCACCCACCGCCACAACCATGGTTTAGGGTGCTAAATTATAATAACAGGATAATTTGAAAATAAGCTTTGGCAGCTATGGATGAAAGCAATTGCCTTCTTGGCTACAGTGAATTGTTAATTTAGATTTATAGGGTTGCCTATAAAATTCCTGACACCCTTTGAGCTTTTCTTGCTTTTTAGAAACCCACAGATGCCATTTTTACACCCGAAAACCAGGACATGTCAGGAATTTTCCTGATGTATGGCAAGCCTAGATTTGCACCCATGCTATTGGGATGAGGTCCAACACAAACTCTGGCATTTTTCTTCATGCATTTGAACAGTAGTTCTGAAATAAGCCCAGGCTCCAGATTGCAAACAGAAGGAAACTACTCAAAGGCTTTTTTCTTTTCTTTTTTAAGGGAAATTCCCTAGGAAAGCAGGCAGGCTTTCTGTACAGATGGATATGCAGGTCACAAAATGTTCTCTCAAAATCCCGAAGGAGAGATTTTCTGTGCTCAGTGACTCCCACAGTTTGAACTCATTTCTCTACATAACACCTACATTTGCACTCATCTTTTCTTCCATGTGATTTTCATTTCTTACAGTCGTGCCAGATTATTATTATTTTTTTATGTCTCACAAGTGAGGCTTGAGAGTATCTCAACTGAAGAGGATTTTTTTAAAAACCCACCCACAACCCACTAACTATTCTGGGTACAAAAAGAAAAAACTTGCTGAATTGTAACCATGGTGACCCACAGTAAGTTGAAGTGTCTGACTTTAGTGTCTGTGATTCAACCCAGAAAAAGTTGTGGATAGATTAAATGCAAGGAGGGAAGCAGCGCCTTTCGCTTGTTTACTTCCCCCTAGACAGCAATAGTACTTCTGGAAATAGCTTAAGGACAACCACAGGTATTACATGGCCTTCAGTTTAAATGCAATGTAAAATTCCCATTTCTGATCCAGTCTAGATAGAGAAAACTTAACATCTCTTTCCCTCATCTTACCTCACAGAAGTACATACTGGTAATTTGTTTGTTTAGTCGTGTCCGACTCTTCGTGACCCCATGGACCAGAGCACGCCAGGCACTCCTGTCTTCCACTGCCTCCCGCAGTTTGCTCAAACTCATGCTGGTAGCTTCAAGAACACTGTCCAACCATCTCGTCCTCTGTCGTCCCCTTCTCCTTGTGCCCTCCATTTTCCCAGCATCAGGGTCTTTTCCAGGGAGTCCTCTCTTCTCATGAGGTGGCCAAAGTATTGGAGTCTCAGCTTCAGGATCTGTCCTTCCAGTGAGCACTCAGGGCTGATTTCCTTCAGAATGGAGAGGTTTGATCTTCTTGCAGTCCATGGGACTCTCAAGAGTCTCCTCCAGCACCATAATTCAAAAGCATCAATTCTTTGGCGATCAGCCTTCTTTATGGTCCAGCTCTCACTTCCATACATCACTACTGGGGAAACCATAGCTTTAACTATACAGACCTTTGTCGGCAAGGTGATGTCTCTGCTTTTTATTTTTTGCTTCTTACATTTAGTAATACTACTAATTACTAATGTTTAACTGGGTCCTGTGAGAATCTGTTCTTCATGTTACTGCTCAGATTTACCTTCACCATAAGGGCTAGCTACAACAATAAAAAAATACAATATTAAAATAACAGCTTACAGCCAGGAGAATATATTTGTTCTATAGACGGTGTGCCTAAATACTGTTTCAAAGGTCAAGTACCACCCCCACTCTCTGCAAGACTCCGGGGTGTGTGTGTCCCAAGCACTCTGGTAGAGTCTGCGCTCCTTTGGAGAATTGAAACACAGCAGAGGCTGTTGCAGCTTTAAGAAATATGGTTTACTCACCTATGTACACATTTCAGTCTGCATGGAGGGAGTCCAGATCTTACAGCATGGTCATTTCAAGAGGGGCTTGTCCCCTACAGCAATGAGCCAAGTAACCATAACTGTTAAAGTATATATAATAGAATGATCTCATTCCAAAGGTAGAAATAAATCTATTGTGTGTCGAGGTCCCCAAGCCACCCCTCAAAATAATTCACAATTCACACATAATTTTTGTTTAAGGTTTTTGGCATAATTTTGGCCACAACTTTATTAAAATACATAATCTGTGAGTGGTTGCTTAGGCGCTGGTTAAGACTATCTGTCCCCCCGCCTGGGACAGAACTGACTTTCCGAGCTCCCTCAGAAGCCAGTGAAGGGAAAACAATATCGGGGATCAGCTGAGCTGAGTTACAGGCCCTCACCGCTCACCCAACCTGCTCCCCAGGGCTTGCTGGCCCTGGTCCCATTTCAGGGATTGGATGAAATCGTGGCAAGTGCACCTCTGCAGCAGTTGAGACCAAATTATTCTCACTGAAGGTAATAAGGCTGCCAATTCCTTCAAGTCCCTTTGAATTGTGGTGCGCAGAGTAAGGCAATTCGAAGTTGCCACATCATTTCCCCCCAGCTGCACCACTATTGCCATTGGGAGGGGATCCGAGAGCACCCGCCGTCTAATGAGTGGCATAAACTCTCCATAACATTCCGCGTCTGGATATCCATGACACTTGCACGTGCTGCGGGAGGCCGAGACCTGATCCCCTTGCAGACTGCCTCGCTCTGCTGCCAGCCCAATGAACGATGCTGTGCCCCACTATCCAGATGCGGACCAGTGTAGGATCTACAAGGGTCAAGAACAAACAAGCATTAGTATAAAAACTCAGCATTTGTTTCACACATAACCCCTGAAGGCATCCGATTTCCATCTCCCCAAATCCTTGATCCTGGCGGCTGACAGGCCCCAATGAGCTGCCATTGTCGCTGCACCTATGCGAAAAGAATGAGGGGCAAAACCAGAGGCTGAAATCCCACAAGCAGAGATGACCTTACGCATGACTTTAGCGAACGGATGTCGTGCCAAAGGGCGACCACTTTCATGCATAAGTAGAGGGCCATCCCCGGGAGGTCTCAAGGCCGATTACGTCCTTACATCCTTAACCAGGCAAGGGCCCGCCTCCCCAGTCACTGGGAGGCGAACAACTGCCCCTCGACCCAGCTGGTCAGTTTTGGCGTTGCGTACTACAAGTCTCAACTCCAAGGGGGAAACATATATCCTGGAGGAGCAACCCACGAGAGCCACCATCTTGGTTGAACTCCACAATTACCTCCCCACAATTACCACCCGAAGAGCACCAAAAAATGCTAACATAAAAGCTGCAGAAAAAAGGCGTGCTTCGTATCTTGACCAGCAAACGCTCCTCAATTTAGTGTGCATTCTAGTCAACAATTCGAAAGTAACAGGATGCCTGGCTGCCATCCTGGGGGGACCAAGTCTACCCCACCCTTCCACAAATTTAGCACAAGAGTCCTTATTATAAAATGAAATTGCTGCCGAGTGAATCCTGAGTGTCCTAGCAGCCCGGCCCAACTGAACCATAGGTGCCAGGTATTGCAGAACCTGGGAAGTGGAAGGGGGGGGTTGAAAGTTGCCAACCACCGACTGGGTAAAATTTAAAAAAACGGTCCAGGCTTCTTTATATGACCTCAAGGTGGAAGTAGAAATGGATGCTGCTACTCCCTGCGATACTAATTGCTGCCAGGTTCCAGAGATGCTGTGGGAAAAACTCTGGATGTTTCCAAGCCTCTGGAGCCAGAGACCTGAATCGCTCCATCTGAAAACGGGATAGAGCATCAGCAATCTCATTAGATATCCCTGGGATGAAACATGCTGAAAACACAATGTTAAATCTCTAACAATGCAAAACAAAGGCCCGCAGCAGGGATGATACCCTAGGGGAACGGGACAACTGTTTTGCCAGCACGTTCACCACCCCCTGGTTGTCGGACCAGAAACAAACCCAATGGTTCCTGAACTCGGCGACCCACAAATGCACCGCTACTGCAATGGGAAAAAACTCGAGAAATGTTAGGTCTTGCGTGATTGCTTCCCCTTGCCAAGTGGAAGGCCAATGCATGGCGCACCATCTACCTTTCCAGTACAACCCAAAACCCAGAGAACCCGCAGCATCGGAGTTCACCTGGAAATCATTGTGGAGGTTCAAAACGTCCTGTCACAAAGACACAGCATTGAATTCGTCCAAGAACTGCAGACAAACCTGCAGGTCCGCCCGCACCTGCCCCGACAGACGCACTCAATGCTGAGGAGCCCATAAGCCAGCCGTAAGCCTGGCCAAATGGGAACAGAATGGGCGGCCTGGCGCCACTACTCTGCATGCAAAATTTAGGTGACCTAACAAAGACTGGAGCTGTCTCAAAGTAACCACCTTCAAAGGAAGGATCTCTTGGATGACCCTCCGCAAGGTCTTGTCGCGCGGCAAGCTGGACGTTTGAGCATTGGTGTCCAACTGGATACCCAGGTAATTTAATTGTGTAGCTGGACCTTCAGTCTTGTCTGCTGCCAAAGGCACCCCCAGCTCATAAGGGAAGCAAAGGCATTCAGCAACACAACACAGTCGCCGGTGTTGTGTGCAGAGGCCAACAAAAAATCATCCAGATAATGTGACACACCTACTAGGCCAGTTTTAACACGCAAGGCCCATTCCAAAAAGGTGCTAAAGCACTCAAATGCCGTACAAGCTATGGAACAGCCCATAGGCATAGCCTTATCAAAATAAAACTTTTCCTCAAACTGGAATCCTAACAGCCAGAAATCTTCAGGATGAATAGGGAGCAAGCGAAATGCCGATTCAATATTGCACTTCGCCAGCAAAGCCCCAGGGCCAAAATTCCTGATCATCTTGATCGCCTGATCAAGAGAGACATATTTCACTGAACAAAGCTCCGGAGGAATAACATCATTTACTGATGTGCCTCTAGGGTGAGATAAATTGTGAATCAGGAGAAATACAAAAGCGGAGGACGAACGACTGTAGCAGGGACGACACCCTCTCAGAACGAGATGACTGCTTAGCAAGAATGTTAAGCACCAGCTGGTTGTCAGTTCTGAAGCATACCTGGCGATTCTGAAACTCCTCTGTCCAGATATGCACTGCCACGACTATGGGAAAAAACTCCAGAAAAGTGAGATCCTGTGTGATAGCTTTTCCCTGCCACCCCGCTGGCCATTGTTGGGCACACCACTGTTCTTTAAAGAACAAGCCAAATCCTAAGGACCCTGCCGCGTCCGATTGAACCTGGAAATCTGAAGACAAGTTAAGAACTTCCTGCCATAAAGATACTCCATTGTAGTGATTCAAGAAAGTAATCCAGATCTCCAGATCAGCCTTAACTGATTTGGGAAGCCTGACCCTGTGGTGTGGATGTTTGAGGCCTACAGAAAGCCTGGCTAGGTGGGAGCAAAAGGGGTATCCAGGGGAAACTACTCTGCAGGCGAAATTAAAATGACCTAACAAGGATTGTATCTGCCTAAGAGTGACCTTCGTTAATGCGAGGGTTTTACAGATTGTCTCGAGAAGGGCGTCTATTTTCTCCCTGGGTAAGCAGGATGATTGGGCGACTGTATCAAGCTCCACACCCAAGTGGGGCCCTCAGTTTTTTCAGCTGTGAGGGGAACACCCAGGTCCTGAGCCAAAGCTGAAAAGGCCCCAAGAAGGGAGGCGCATTCCCCAGTGTCAGACTTTTTTTAAAAAATATTTATTGAAAATTTTAGAATTACAAAAAAAGAAGAAAAAGAGAGAGAGAAACAAAGGGAAAACAAACCACAATCAAACAGTACAAATTAATAGAAATCAAAATCAAAAAATAACACAACACGATCAAAAGACAAAAATATACCACATTTAAAAACCAATATTCTCAAATCCTTAACTGTCATTACCTTCTTTCTTTGACCTCCTCCTCCTCCCTTTTTTTGTATCCTAGTTGTTAATTGTCGCAGCAAATCCTTTCCATATTTCATAATATTCTGTCGTTACATTACCTTAATCTATTTTAATCTTATCTTACTATAAATAAACTTAAAACTTAAAACTTAGATCTTATTTTTGCCAATTTCTCATAACCATAATATTCTTACATAATTCTTTAAACATTTTTGCTAAAGCCAAATAATTTCATTCCAACATTTTTCTAACATTCATCAATTTTATAGAACAATCCTAATAAAAAAAAAAAATTGTATTCCAATCTTCATCCAGCGTCTCTTCCTCCTGGTCCCGGGTTTTGTCAGTCCTTTCTATCCCATCAATCTAGCGCATTAACCTGGTAATCTTATGTCCGAGGCCCTTAAGTCCCTTCCATGTCCCTTCCGCGGCTCTTCTTCATATTTATAACTGTACTTTCCTTTGTCTCCTGCTCCTTTCACTCATGGGAACTCCAACTTGACAAAGTTTTTGACCCTTCTCGACAAATCAGCCCCTTTTCCATAGTCCACACTAAACTCCATGTGGTATTTAAAAACATGTTTCAAAGTCCCTCCAAAATTAAGAGCCCCCACAACCCCAAACATCTCACGGCCCATTGCCAGACTTGAAAAGTCCAAACATCCCTGCATGGAGGGGGTCTATCCAACCCCCCATTTCCAAACCAAACCAAACTCCATCTTTCCAAATCTGGCCTTTTCCAAGTTCATTTGTCAAATCCAAGAACTCATGTTCCTGCTGGGCCACAGCTCCCTCCATCTCTGCCGCCCAAGGCTCAGCAACATCCTCTTCCCTCATCTGTTCTGTCAGAGCACACTCCTGATTCGATTCCTGGGTGGGCTCTATATAATTTTCCACTGCCTGTCCAAAATTTCTGATCGCATCAGTCATCAAGTCCGTCTTCTCATGTAGCTGTTCCAGTAGGGCACTTGTTTTACAGAAAGCACGCAACAGAGCTTCTGAATACATTGTCCTGCAAGGTCAAAAGTCTATTCCCACGATCGTAATCTGTAGCAGCTGCAAGCTCCCCGATTCAGAGTTGGTTACAGATTCACAGGCTCCCTCTGGGGAAGAACTTCTATTTGTTCTTTTCTTTTAAAGACAGATCTAACAACAAAGTTTCCTTTTTCAGATATTTTGTCAATATTTGTTCCTTTAAAATGCGAAGGGGAACAATGGAATCACTATGTTTCTCTTCTTTTAACTATCTGTCAAAAACGTTTGTCTCTGGTCAATGAGCTTCCCAAAGAACGTCAGTCCTGACACCCCGCTCCAGGATCAAGACGGTGGAAAGTTACTTTGCTTTACACTCTCTTCTGCAGGTTTAAGCAGTCCGGAAAAAATCCCCCCTCTTCTCCTGCTTCCGAAGGGGGTTCGACAATTTTAAATGATGAAAGTTAATCCTTTACAAGCGATTTTCTGAACTCTAGTTTGTCATGCCTTTGCTTTAATCTATCTACAAAGAAACGGAAGGCTGACTTCCTGTTTAGACCTTCCCGTTTCAGTGCCAAATTGAAATAAACTCTTAAGTCCAATTTTCTTTTCTACTCGCCAATCATTATTTAGAGTCCAATTGTCCGAAATTTAAGTACTCACGGGTGATTGTTTTAAAAGCCAAATTGTCCCAGGAAAAAGGCAGCGCTCTCCGGCAACGGCTGTGCGGCTTCGCTCCACGGAAGAAGCAGTTGACTCTCAGCACCGTGCCACTTCCCCCTCTTCGCTCCGGAGCCCGTTAGTGGGTTCCTTTGCGGGTTGGGGGGGCGCTAAAGGTGCCCGCCGAGTCCCATGGTCACAGGCTTCATCCGCCTGTGATTTTTGAAAGGGTCCCCGCTTCGCCATAGCGGAAAAGACCCATTTCCCGTGGAGCTGGTCCCTCCAGATCAGAGGGAGTCCGCCATTACCGATGGCGCCACCCCGGAAGTCCCGCAGTGTCAGACTTTCCCACGAGAAGAAAGTCCTCCAGATAATGTGTCACCCCGGAAGAATTAGTTCTGAAACGCAAGGCCCAATCCAAAAAGGTGCTGAATGTTTCGAAAGCTGAACAGGCTACTGAACAGCCCATTGGCATAGCCTTATCCACATAATACTTCCCTTGGAATTTGAAACCCAGCAACCAAAAGTCATTAGGGTGTACTGGCAAAAGACGAAAGGCCGATTCTATATCGCACTTCGCTAGGAGTGCCCCGTGACCAAAATGCCTGGTCAAAGGTGGCATATTTAACTGAGCATAATTCCAGTGGAATGGCATCATTTACAGAGCCTCCTTTTGGGTAAGAGATTGTGGATAAGCCTGAATTTTCTGGGGGTCTTTTTGGGAACGATGTCCAAGATGTGTAAGTTCCGGATAGGAGGGCTATCAAATGGGCCTGCTTACCCTCCCTGCGCCTACTTCCTTAGCTATCTACCTCTCCACTGCCTCTGGCCTCTCCCTAACGGACTTCTGATTAGGGGAATCCTTTGCTATTCAGGAACCTGCTACTGGAATTCGAAACCCACTGGAAAAACCCTCCCAAAGATAGGCAGCTGCGCTTTTGTCAGGGTAAAAGGATAGAAGGTCACAAAGAGGAGCGAGCTTGATCGGGGAAAAGGCTAGCTCCAGCACTACCTTATCTTTTGTTTTTAGCCGCGGGGGCTCCCCTGGAACTGGAGTAGTGGAACCCCCGGCCTCCACGAAAGGGCTGCTTTCCTCCCTTAAAGCAAGCTACAGCTGGGTGGGCCCCAGCGCATCTCTCACATTCATGAGGATACTTGCAAGAGTGCCATTGGCATGACCCTTTGTTAAATTCCTAACATACCTTATGCTTAAGGTCCCTCCTTGGGTCAGCTCTGGCCGCACAATAAGAAGCAACCTGCTTCTTCTCAACATACGGGCCCACAGCTACCGACTATATGCCGTTTTCTATTTGGTCCCAGCGCGCTAACAATCCTAGAGGCCTTCCTGCGGAACTTCTTATCATAGCTAATGGCGGTGGCCTCCCTGGAAAGGACGTATGCCATACGCATGTGCGACAGGTAAGCCACCAAGTGGACCGCTTGTTTAGGATAGGCAGCCACAATTGTCCCCATATAGGCCTGAAAACCATCCAGCCAGTTGTCAAAAGTCCTAGGGACTGAGGGGTGCTTGCATTTCCGCTTCCCATAAGAAGGCCTCTTTTCACCCCTCCCCAACTCCTCTGCGGGAGGAACCAACTTAAACATGTCTACAAACTCCCCATTTAAGATTTTTGCCCGCAATTTAGGGGAGAGATGATCCCCCGGGATGACATCTGAATAAGTTGAGGTAGTTGAATCCTTGACTAGAGCCCCATCCTTCCACTCCTGGGTTCCCCCAAACTTCTTACGATGGGAATTGGCCCTTCTGGAGAGAGCCCAGTCAGGGAGACCAGAGATCTCTTCTCCTCTACCCCAGTAGGAACCCAGGGAAGCATCACTATTATATTCAGAAGAGCTACCTGTATCATAGTCAGAATCATCGGTCCTCGACTTGCTCTTCCTACAGATGTGCTTCTTTTCACGCCTTTTGCCGGAAGGCTTATCCCCTGTCGCCACACAGGGCTCCTCCTCCAACTGCTCCTCCTCTGCCACAGATGATGTGCCCGATTCCGGGAGCTGGACTCTGGAATGCTTATCTTGTGAATGACTAGAAGAACCAGAGGCGACAGTGTTATTAGCACGAGATGACTTAGTTGCAGCCATCCCGCCTCATCCCTGAGGGGCGGATGCTGCGGAGAGTGACAGACCTAGTCCGGACTGTCTCTGCCCTGCCGTTCAGGTCCTGACTCAGCGCATCCAAAAATGGCCGTGCCAGGGCCGAGGCAGGGCGGCGACGGCCGGAGGACACCCGGCTGCACGGGACGCCTCCGCTGATCCCCCGGGGCTGCGCAGGCGGCACTGGGCAAAAACAAGGTCCCAGGGCGGGCGCTTGTGTGCAGACGGGCGGCCAGGCCACCTGTGTGCAAAGAAAAGCCCCCCCATGAGCCGGGCGTGATCAGCGGCCCTGAAAAAGGCTGCGCCGAGGCGCTGGGCCTAGTCAGGCCATGGCAGCCTGGGATACCCCCAGCTGCAAGGAGCGTCTCCCCCGGCCCCCTGAGGGCCAAGCGGTGGTGCAGGGTATAGAAAAGGCCTCTGGCCGGGCGGGCGCTTGCTCATGCGCGCGGATAAGCGTCCAGGCCATCCACACACTAAAAGACAAGGCCCCGCGGCCTGGGCGAGCTCAAGGCCCCTCGGCGCCCCCAAACAACACCCACAGTAGCGGGGCGCCGGTGCTCGGAGTCCCGCAGGTCCAGAAGAACCCCCCCAACCACGCCTAGAGGTGCCTACAGCGGCAATTCCAGCCGAGGACGGCTGAGAACTGACACAAAAAAGTAGGCTCAGGGTATTTATGCCCAAAATTCCCCCATGTCTATCGGCCCAAGCCTAGTGGCGTGGGGCTGGCACCCCCACCGGGGGTGGCGGAGCCGCCTGGAGGTTTCTAGGGAAAGGGGGAATGGCTGAAATAATAATTTTAAAGGCTAAGGGGGGGTAATTAAAAGAACAGGCCAAAGGAGGAGGGGTGGAAAATAAAATTGCTTTTAAAAGCCAGATATCATCAATTTCCAAATGCTGTGATCGATCTGATGCAGTCAGCGAAAGAGAAAGCAAAAGCTGAGTGCCCCCAATATTTAAAGCCTTTGGTCCCACCCACCACGTTGCAACATGCAATTTACCCCAGCAACCCGGCCATCTAATTGTTGCCCCAGGCCAACTCACTTTATCCGCCTGGCAACAGAGGATTGGCTTGGCAGACCCCCACTGCAACACGTTCTCTCATTTCAGGGAGAACACGCTTTAGCGTTCATATATGCAATGTAACAGTCTAGCGGCGCAGACCATGTGTTCAAGATAGGCGTCAAAGGTCAGTTTCACAATGGGTATTCAAAGGTTTCAACAGAAGACGTCTAAAAAGTAAAGTTTTCTCAATAGTTTTTCAAAGGTTTCGATGGAAGACGTCCCAAAAGCCTCAAGGACAGTGTTTCCAGAATACTACTGTTTCGTGATAGTCTTCATCAGCTGAAAATACAATATAAAGCAGACAACCAATGAATGATAACAGAATTGAGCTACCCACATATACATTGTATAAAAAAAACCAGAATATAGAAAACAAAGTATAAAGAAAGGTACGTACCCAATATTTTTCACAAGAATATGTAAGATTCATGCTATAGTTAAGTGCTCACTAGGAGTGCAGCTGCTGATATTTGCAACTCAGTTGCATAGGATATATCAAGTGAGCCACAGGTATTTCTAATGATGATTTGCTTAAAGAGACAGTATAGCAAGTACAGCATATGAATACAAAGTAGACCCATAAGAAGCAGTTACACAGGACAAATATATAACAATAATGCATAGAGCATACAATAATTGCATACAAAGCAATTAAAATCAAGTTCATTATTTAGCCCCCCTTGATGAATAGATTTAAACAGAAACATGAAACAGGTTTCTTGCTGACGTGACCACCATTCAAAATCTTGCCTAATACCAAATTTCTTTTGATTTACCCATAATACTGTAAGTAATAAATCTGTGTCCGAATGTTTGTGGGCTATGAAATGTTCAACCAAAGATGCCTCCTTAATGGCATTTCGTATACGGGAACGATGTTCCCCATTGCGAATCCCAACTGCTCGTGTGGTGGAACCTATATATAATAAATAACATGGATATTGGATAAGATAAACCACATTTTTAGTCTGACGTGCTGAATTGTCGTATGACAAATCTAGAATTAGACTTATCCTCATAAAACTCTTTGATCTGTAGTGAAAACGGCAGGATGAACGTTTGCCACACTTGTAATGGCCAGTGGGGCCAATGTTGCCGATAGATCGAGTAAGAGTCATGTCAGTATGAACCAACATGTCCTTAATAAATTTGGTCCTCCTAAGGCCAATTAAGGGGAAATCATCACAACCAGGCACATTCCATAGTATGTGCCAATGCTTACGTATGATTCTGAAAATTCTGTCTGAGTAAGCTGTCTATTCTAATGATCCCGTTACTCTGGTGTTAGATGGAGAGGTTGTATTTGAAGTGGGAAGTGTTGCACGGTCCCTGATCAAGGATCTTTGTATTCATCTCAATTGGAAACAAACCTGCCTGCCTGCACTAATGTGAAGGGTGAAACAGAGATCTGGACTGCCGCACATAGGCTAGGTCCAGTTCAAAGACAGTGGTTTTGATTTGCAAAATGTCACGCAGGTGAGGGTCACTTAGTCTTGTCCTCACGTGGTTCTGTTAAAGTTCATAGCAGAGAATGTCTTCTCACACAAATAGGTTGAGCCAAACAAGCTCAGGACTTGTGTTCAATACATTCAGATGCTTTGTTATGTCAACTAAAAACCCCAAATCTGCCAGCCAAATAGGATCAGATAGTTCTTGCATCGGTTGTCCCGTTGTTTCCAAGAATTCTCTGATTTCCTTTCTGAGAGAGTAGGAACGCTGCAGTGCAGACCCCTGACTAAGCCATCTTACATTGTTGTGATATAAAACATCTTCGTATTCAGCCTGGATGTCCAATAGAAACTGTTCAAGCTGGCGGTGGCACAGGGTTTTCGAGCAAATAAAATTAATACCCGTTTCATAACATGATCATATTTGAGATGTTCAGCACAGAGAACTTGTTGATGAATGATACAATGGAGTTTAATAACTTTGCCTCCTCCTTTGATCTCCTTGTTACAGATTAATAATAATCCACTTCATTCACCATCACAGTAACTTTGTTCCAAGGCATTTTCATGTCATCCGTGGCAGAACTAGTGTGAACTGATGTCTCATCAACCGGGAACCATCCTTATGTATGAGTAAAGGGCCACCTTAAGATACAGGTACCGCCTGGTGTCTTTTACTGGGCACGACCCCGTGTTCAGAAGCAGTAAGTTTGATTAAAGCACCCTTTCCACTTTGGTCTGTTTTCAACCACTGAATACAAACTATAAACTCGGAGCTGGATAATTGTATGTCACTTAAATGGTGGCCCCTAGAGGTACCATTTGGTTGGACTTCAGACACTACCTCACCAACCCTCAAGGCTCCAAAGAAGGCAATGGCATACGCTGTGGAAAACAATTGTGACTCGTATTTAGACCAGCATATAGACCTAAGTTTCTTGTGTATCAAGCAGAGGTGGCCAAACGTTACCCGCCTTCTGCCTTCTTTTTTTGTAGGTTGGAGCCTGTCCCAACCTTCAGTAGCTTTGTGGACTACAAAATCTGTGTATGGATACTGCCACACACAGCCTGCTGTGAAAACTGTTAAGAGCCTTTTCATATGACCATTCTTACATAGCAATAGCTATCCAAGGCAGAGGAGATTTGTATGACTTGGGAATTGTAGTTAGGCTGCAGTGAATTAATGAAACACTCACTCATGCAATGTTAGCAAAAGCGGAGTTAAAAGATTAGCATTTCACTGATGCCCCTAAAATAAGGATAATGATGTCAATTTGGGAATAGATAAAAGATGCTAGTAAAGCTGTTACATGATGTACTACAAAGCCTATAATGAACTAGCGGCATAGGAAAATCAGAGGCGAGGGTCAGGAACTGGCTCAGTAAACAGTAGGGGGGGGGGAAGGAAGAATGGAGTATCTGCCTTTACACAGGGAAGAAACTATGGCCAAATAAATAGCGCACCTTGATGTTCCTTGCTGAATTTTGTATTCTGTGGAACAGGTCCCATCAATTCCAATTTACAGCCTGGCACATGAACCTGTTACATGGTTGGATCCAACTACTCTGACTGGGTGGAGTGCTGTTGCTACACTAGCTTTTTGGCAAGTGGGTCACTGTTACTTGCTGAGATGGGGAAGGGCAAGGTGCACAGGTGCTGGGGACTGACTGGATGAGGGGGGGGGGGGGAATGCTCCAACAGGAGAACTCCCTAGGTAGGCCTCAGATCCAGGGGAGTGGTGGTGGGAGACTGAGGAGAGGTCAGAGGATGAAGAGGGGAAGTGGGGAGCCCAGTCATTTCTGGCAACTGCTTCCCTGGGGTCAGTCTCACCTTAGGTTTCTTTTTGTGTTCTGTTTTCCGTGAATAAAGAATCACAGACCCTACAAATGCCCCAGAAATTGGGGATGTCCCTATTTCTAGCCATCGGGATTTCTAATGGTGCCATGGAAATACCTGCTTTCTGAGACAGAGTGCTTCTGCTTGCTCTCAGCCCCAGGACTGTCATTCCAAAAGTGGAAGAGAAGGCTGGCAAGAGAGGAGCTGCTTGAGAGAATAGTTTCATATTAGGTTGATCAGTCTGGGGTGTCTCTTCTTCCTTCCCAACTCCCTTTTGCTCTTGATAAAGTTGTAAATGGAGAAACAATGCACACACACAATTGCCACTTTGATTGATTGACGGCCTAGGACCCTCATACCTACGGGACCACCTCTCCTGGTATGCCCCACAGAGGACCTTAAGGTCCATAAATAGCAACACCCTAGAGGTCCTGGGCCTTAAGGAAGTTAGATTAGCCTCAACCAGAGCCAGGGCCTTTTCAACACTGGCTCCGGCCTGGTGGAACGCTCTTGTCTCATGAGACCAGGGCCCTGCAGGATCTGATTTATTTACGCAGGGCCTGTAAGACAGAGTTGTTCCGCCTGGCCTTTGGCTTGGAGTCAACTTGATTCCCTCCCCCTTTTTCTTTTTTCCTTTCTCCTCCTCTTATGAGGCTGCATTTTTATGTTTTAATGTTGCATTTTAATCTTGTTTTTAAGTTGTATTCACTCAACTTGTTTTTATTATTGGTTGTTAGCTGCCCTGATCCCGACCTTGGCTGGGGAGGGTGGGGTATAAATAAAATTTATTATTATTATTTTCAGGAACTCGGACCAGACCAAATTTCATAAAATCTTACAGAGACTTCACTAAAACAAAACTCTACAAGAGGTAAAAACTCACAATAATTACAGACTAAAATAGCTCAGAAGGTTGAAAAAACAACAAACACTAACATTCTGCTAATTAACGTAAGTACTTACACTTAAATCTCAGTAAACTGAGGAACTGGCAAAGGAACAACATGCTGTCAAAAGCCGAGAGCTCCCACCAATCCAGGTTTTATGAAAACTTAGACCATGGGCAAACGTGTCAAACGGTAGTGTCTTGCAGTAAATAAAAAGAACCACGCAGAGTCAAAGATCCACAGTAAAAGGAAAAACACTTTACTGAGGCAAAAACTTCATTCCACGCAATGTGCAAGCAGAGTAAGAGAACAAAGATAAAGCAGCTCACGGAGTCCAGGAATTTATACTTCCTGGCTCCTCGTGACCCTGAGTTACTCAAAACAATATGAACCTTCCAGAGTCTTCCAGCATTTTCCAGTTTCTGCCCTCGAAAGACCTTAGTCATGACAGAACGTTCACCTCTTTGACCCAATTACCTTGTGACATCAGCCTTGAAGTTTTAGCAAGAGAGAGATATATGCAAGCTCATTATTTCTGAGGTTCTAGCCCATTCCCATAAACCAGTCTTAAAGGGGAGATATCACCAAAGCATTGCACCCACAAATTCCTTTACATCTTCTAAATTGTGTTTTTTCTACCAATTGTGATTTTTAAACTGGATCTACCAATTGGTTTATAATTGTATTTTTACAGATGCCCACAGGCCACCTTAATGAACCTCATAGATCACTGTTGCATAAGTGATCACTACTTTCACTACTTTCCACAACTTTCTCTTTCGTATATACAGTGGAACCTCGGGTTTTCAAACTTAATCCGTTCCGGAAGACCATTCAAATTCTGAAACATTCCAAAACCAGGTGCTGTTTCCCACAGAAAATAATGCAAAATGGATTAATCCGTTCCGGACCTTTAAAATCAACCCCTAAAACAGCAATTTAACATGATTTTTGCTATCTAATGATACCATAGATAGTCAATGAAAGCAATAAACACAGCATACTGTACTGTAAAAACAATTATAAATAAACACAATGTAAAAGCAGTATGGAAATGAAATTTTTTTCTTACCTGCAATTGTTTGGATGGGGGGGGGGTTCCAGAATCACTGTAGATGATTCCTTTCCTTTCTTCCAATGCCTCTATTATAGAACTGATCTTCCAAGTAAGGATACACATGAATCCCTTGCAGGCGAAAGTGTGCCACTAGCGTAATCATCACATTCATGAAAATTCTTGGTGAGGAAGCCAAGCCAAAAGGGAAGAGCAAGGAACTGGAACTGTAGATTGCCTAGGGCAGAGGTGGTGAAACATTTAGAGACCAAGTGCCCAAACTGCAACCCAAAACCCACTTATCACAGTGCCAACATGGCAATTTAATCAGAATGCTGAGGTTTTAGTTTAGAAAAAACTCACACATTAGGGTTAATGTAACCCTTTCCATTGATATATAATTTCATGGTATAACTCAGCGCTTTTTTTCTTTAAACAAATGTTTAGGGATACTCTCATTTTGAGTCAAGAAAATCATCGGGGAAAATAAATACAGTTCTAATTGGGGAAAATAAATACAGTGAATTTCTTCTCCTGTTTAAATTCACAAAATGTTTAGGGCTATGCATACCCGTGTCCCCACAGAAAAAAAGCACTGGTATTACTCCAAAAAAAGGAGGATTGTGAGCCATCAAACCTTGGAAATACACTTTTTCCAGAAGGTTCCACAATTTTGGCCACTAGTGTACACTGGAGGGCTGTACTAAGAGCCACCCTCTCCCAGTTTTTAATGTGGGATGATAATGATTGTCTATGCACAGCACATACAAATAAATAAATAAATATAAACAGATAAATAAACCCAGCACGTCCTTCAGGGGCCCCATCCCTAGATAGATGTCCCCCTACAAAAGGGGCAGTAACAAAATTATTCGAGAGGCTGAAGCCACCTTGAGAATTTTTTAGCCACAAGGTGCAGCGTGCTACTACCTGAGCTAATATTGGTCTGGCAGAAAACTCGTGTCACATGACCCATAAAGGCAGTTGTCCTGAGGGGGATCCTGCAGCCAGTTGAAGCTGTACAAGCCGCTGGCATAGATAAAGCTGTGACCTTATGCTCCTTACGAACTCCAATCGCCTATCCATCATATCTTTAAATTGCGCATGCCCTTCCATGATGGGGTGATCTGTAGGTAGCACCTTAATGTACTCCATAAATTCTGGCTTGAGGGAATAAAGATTATCTGCCAAATTGCTGTTCCTTCTTAATTTGCAATGGAGTGTCCAACTCACTCTTAGCTACCTTCTTTAAAATAGCCAGTACGACTGTTTGCGTGTCACTGGCTATCCGTAAGTACAGAGGTGTCATAGACGTTGAGGCTTCCACAGATTTGTCTTGACTTGGAGGCCAAACTTGAGGTGGACGTGACTAGCGACACTAGACTGTGGAAACGACCCAAGTTGTAACTGTCTTCTCTTGTAAAAAATCACTCTATTCAACTTCCTCATCACAAGCATATGGTGAAGGAGAAGGTGTTGAGAGATCTCCAGGAGCCATCACATCCTCCTGTAGCCCATGAAAAGGATTAGGGGAAGAATCACCCACAATCCTTGTGATTTTGTTAGTAGCAGTAGATTCATGGTTTTTAGATAAACCCTTTGCTCCATGTGCCTGCAGCCCGATCTGGAGGTCGGAAGATAAAGGGAGGCAATTAAAGCATTCTTAATTTGCTCAATCAAGGGACGCGGGTGGCGCTATGGGTTAAACCACAGAGCCTAGGACATGCCGATCAGAAGGTTGGCGGTTCAAATCCCCGCAACGGGGTGAGCTCCCGTTGCTTGGTCCCTGCTCCTGCCAACCTAGCAGTTCGAAAGCATGTCAAAGTGCAAGTAGATAAATAGGTACCACTCCGGCGGGAAGGTAAACTGCGTTTCCGTGTGCTGCTCTGGTTTGCCAGAAGCGGCTTAGTCATGCTGGCCACATGACCCGGAAGCTGTACACTGGCTTCCTCGGCCAATAAAGCGAGATGAGCGCTGCAACCCCAGAGTGGGTCACGACTGGACCTAATGGTCAGGGGTCCCTTTACCTTTACCTAATTTGCTCAATCACGGTGGAAGGAAAATTAAAATGTGCAGAGCCAGGCAAATTCTGAGAAGCAGGTGGCATGGAGTCCGCACCCCTTGCGCTAGTTGACTATCGGGAACCTGAGTGTGGTACCACTGGGTGGCAGCAGTACCTCACATTCCAATGCTGTAGATCTTAAGAGGCTGGATAGGAGCCTCATCTGCAGTAGGACAAAGAGAAGGCTTAGATCTTACCGGCATTCCAGCAGACTGAGGACGCCTGGGATGAGAACTTTGTGAACGGCCAATTTCTGCCTCTTAGGCAATTGTGCAGAATGATCCATGTGCTTTGACTTCTGCTTTCCCTTTTTATGCACAGCTTCCACAGGCCACTGTACAGCTCCAGGGCTTCCATTGAATCTTCAGTTGACATAGAGTGCAGACACGAAGCTGCGAACCACAAAAAAAAAAGTCCTGAACATAGGATGTTGCTTTAAGGTTGCTCAGGTGTGTACTGTGTACGCAGCTCATATGTATGCATATATACACATACATATATAATCAGACTTTCGTATGTATCACAGTCCCAGCCACTCATAAATCTCAACCTTTTCAGATTGGGAAATTGATCAGAAGTAAATATAAAATAAAATAAAAGCTTCATCCGATTTTTATTCTTAAGTCTCACATCCAGAATTAATCCAACGGATTTGTAAAGTCTTTAATTAGCTGGTGTAAAATAACGTCACATTTAATCTTTGGCAGGTTTCCACCATGCAATACAAAACCCATGCCCGGGGGGGGGGGGCGCTCCTTTTTACCCTTCTGAAAACGAGCCAATTAGCCCAAATCTAAAATTAACCCATTACCTTTTTACGAATTGGTTTAGAGTCCTTTGTTTTCAGAAAAGTCGCTTGGAAGGCGGAACTCAGGGCTTTTTGTCGTGGGGTTGTGATCATGCCTCGCTTCCCGATCTCACTACTCCCCCAGCAGGGAAAACATTGAGAGAACATTCTTGACACCACTGGACCCCTCCAGAACCCAGGAAACGGGGACGTCTGGTAACCTTAATAGAGAGAGAAAACAAGATATCTCCACTAGTAGCCTACGCAGAAGGGATATAAAAACAGGGTGACTGTTAGATCTCTGGTGAGTAAATGAGTTTGCCTTTCATTTTGGTAGCCTGTTAGCTTAGCAAAATTAGCAGCCATTATTTGTATACAGTAAGGAGTGGCTGAAGGTGAAAGGAAAGGGACACAAAAGAGTTGTATTAAATTACCTGCGGTGTGGAGAATATGCGTAGAGAAAAGCTATTCTCCTCTCTCCCCTAGCATTAGAACTCAGGGACATCCAATGTTGAATCTTCAAATTGTGGCCTGCCTCCAGTTACATCCTGACATGCATGGTGAAAATACAGTGGTACCTCGGGTTAAGTACTTAATTCGTTCCGGAGGTCCATTCTTAACCTGAAACTGTTCTTAACCTGAAGCACCACTTTAGATAATGGGGCTTCCTGCTGCCGCCGCACCGCTAGAGCCCGATTTCTGTTCTTATCCTGAAGCAAAGTTCTTAACCTGAAGCACTATTTCTGGGTTAGCGGAGTCTGTAACCTGAAGTGTATGTAACCTGAAGCGTATGTAACCTGAAGTGTATGTAACCTGAAGCGTATGTAACCTGAAGCGTATGTAACCCGAGGTACCACTGTAAGCTCGAGTAGCTCGTGTGGTGCATCAAATCAGGAGATGCTGTTTGTTGGACAAATGAGAGAAACTTCCTCTGGGCTCATGACCTCCCAAGTGTAACTAGACATTTCTGAGAACAAACTTGCCTACTGTCTATGAATCCTGAGTGAGCCCTCCAAAATTAGACAGCAGGTTGTGAAGGGACCCTTAGTGCCACCTGCTTCACTTAGCTGAAGATTTTGGACATGAGCTTTTGCATTTTCATGACTGTAGCAAGGATTTGTAGATTGAGTCGACTTATAAAAGAGGCAGCTGAGTCTTTCTGCTAAATCAACCAAGCAGGACAAGGTAGCCGTAGACTACACTAATGAGCTGATTAAGGGAATTTCTGAAGGCAGAGACTGACTGACTGACTGACTAGCAGGCAATTTGGTCCAGGGAAAACAGCTAGGTAGGAATCAAAATAATATGCTAGCTATGCTTTTAAAAATAAGCCATGTGTGAGAAAATACAACTTGTTAGCAGCATTGCATTAATAAAACTCACAAACCACCGGAGGTTTCCTACAATGCTGAGGGAGGGGGGCACTACTAACCCTCCCCCCCCAATCTTCAGATTGATGTTTCCCTCTTATGGGACTCCCCATAAAATACCTTGCACTTTTTAGAACAGTAACTTGTTCAAAATGTCCCATGACACCTTGTAGCACACATTTTATTGCCTCTTGAGTCATGACCCTAGTTAATATATTCTCAGGAATACCTTCCCATTGGCACGCCTATAAAGATAACTGAAAATCAGGAATAAACATTTCCATAGCTATTTCCCAGCTACATAATTGCTTGTTTTTGCTCGGAATTAATCCTCTTTGGTTGCCTAACTCACTGAAATCTGTGCCAAATATTGTCTGGTTTCAATTTTGGGAGTTTAAAGAAATGCAATTCTGGTAGGAAATATTTTTCCTTCCCATGCCCATCAAGCTAAAGGCCTTTTTAACTTGGTGATCCCCAAATTTCTCCCATAGACCACTTGAAAATTGCTAATGGTCTTGGTGGACCATTTAGTATTTTTTTCTGCCTCTGGGAGCAATATGTAATGTACTGTGAAAGATGCTTTATGGTTTATTTATGGTTTATGCTTCATGGTCTGTATTTTTACAGACGCCCACCGATCACCTTAATGAAGCTCACGGGTCACTGTTGCACAAGTGATCATTACTTTCACTACTTCCCACAACTTTTTGAGTTTGTAATCTCTATTTGAGTTTGTAATCCTTGTCAGAAACATACTTTTGAACGGATTAATTTTTGTTACTATTGACGATAGGCTTGTGAGTAGGGACCACTCCCACTATTGAAACTTACATTGGCCTGAGTTCTTGGGTGTGCTTTTTTCTTGGTATATTTAATAACAAGAACTCCAACTTATTTAACGTCAATATCATGGGATAAATAGCTGGCAGGGGGACCTGAGTGAAGCCTGCAACCCTCAGGTCCACTTTACCAGGCCATGCACCCCGGATCGCCATGGATTGGCTCATTTGAATAGCCGGGTTTAGCGGGAACCTATGGATATGGAGCTATGGTTTTCCCAGTAGTGATGTATGGAAGTGAAAGCTGGACCATAAAGAAGGCTGATCGCCGAAGAATTGATGCTTTTGAATTATGGTGCTGGAGGAGACTCTTGAGAGTCCCATGGACTGCAAGAAGATCAGACCTATCCATTCTTAAGGAAATCAGCCCTGAGTGCTCACTGGAAGGACAGATCCTGAAGCTGAGGCTCCAATACTTTGGCCACCTCATGAGAATAGAAGACTCCCTGGAAAAGACCCTGATGCTGGGAAAGATGGAGGGCACAAGGAGAAAGGGACGGCAGAGGATGAGATGGTTGGATAGTGTTCTGGAAGCTACCAGCATGAGTTTGACCAAACTGCGGGAGGCAGTGGAAGACAGAAGTGCCTGGCGTGCTCTGGTCCATGGGGTCACGACTAAATGACTAGAGTCGGACACGACTAAATGACTAAACAACAACAACATGAGCCTCCATGGTGGCCAAGCGCAACCATGAGTAGCAACCATGCTTATAGCCAACAAGCGCCTGGTTCCCAATATTTGGGGACCCCGATTTCTTTACAGACATGCTACGTCTTGCTTCTGGATAAACACGCATAGGATTGCATTGTACGTTTTCTGTTGGACAGCTGGTGCTTGCGTGCTGTGTCTTTTATCTCATGTTTACATAAAAAGTACAAAAAGAAGCGGTCACAAAGTATGCCCCTCCATTTGTGTGCTATTTACAGCTATTGCTTCTGCAAGCTCCTGAAGGACAAGCATAAAAGATTCTTAAAACTTCATATTATTCTTAACACGGCACCGTTCTTTAAAAGCAAAGTTCATACAATGGTGGGTAGTATTGCATTATTATGTGCCACTGAAATAACTGGGAAGCGTTTCCCCCCTTTGTACCTATGTGGTTTGAGACACGTAAGTGCGTCACCAGTATGAAATGCTATTTGCTATCTCCCCCCCAGAAAAGAGAGATGAAAATGCTAACAGATGGAGGGAGCACATGATGATAACGACATGTCTCTGAGCAGCAAATGAGCAGCGGTCCAAGGAGCATAGCAATAGTTCTGCTGTTGGTGGCTGTGTATTTATTCCCCAAGTCCATGTAGGGATCAGCTGTTTGGTTTGTTTCTCGTTTCCAGGTTGAAGCCGGAAGCCATGTGTGACTGAACAAATGCCCAACCTGGGACATCCCAGCTCTTCAGGGGACGGATTCAGTGAAAGAGAAATTATGGAGAACACGAGGCGGTTGCTTGGAAGCAAGGAGGCCAACTGGCCTTCATTATGTCCACTGACCCGGATCTGACAGTGTTCCCTGCCTGACTTTCCATTCAGAAACATCTGCCTGCGTCTAGCCACCAATCATGTGGCTTTTTGCAAGAGCTTGCACTTTCCCCTTTCGCTATGTCCATCACACTCATTTACCTATGCCTTTACTTCCCTAATGCAGACTTTACAGCATTGGGTGGGTGGGGAAAGGGCAAATCCTGCACTCTCTGAACTAATTTGTGTTCCTTCCTTCCTGTTTATTTTGTCCTCCTTTCTTTATATCCATTTTGTCATGATTATTCACATTTTTCCTTACAGGAAAGAACAGGTTTCTCCTTATTAATGTCTAGGGACCCTCACCCATTTGCTTCACTTCAGATAAGACCACACACTAATGTGCAACACCCTCAGCATCAGCCAGAGAAACCTCTCTGCAGCCACTGTGGGACCAGGCGTTGGGGTCTCCATACCCCAACCCATATAAATAAACAGACCAGTGAGAATGGTTTGGGGTCAAAACAGGCTACAACTTGATTGAATACAGATGAAAGAGGCTTGGCTTGTGTTATGTACTGAGTTGAATAGGATTCAGAATGCAGCAGTCTGATTGGTCCTAGAACAATAGGATTCAAAATGCAGCAGTCTGATTGGTCCTAGAACAATAGGGTCCAGAATGCAGCAGTCTGATTAGTCCACAGGAGCCACCCAATCCAGCTCCAGGTGGAAGTGAATCCGCAGCCTGATTGGCCTACAGGTGAATCCTGGAATTAGCCAATCACAAGGGGCCCATTGCATAAACAATGTATATAAAGCAGACAGTATGGGGGAACTTCCATTCCACCTCACCACTATGAGCTGAATAAAGAGCATGAAATCCACTCTCGGCTCCGTGTATGTTTCAGCTTGGGTGTGGGGCAATCTAAATATGTGTGGTCAATCCAGGTGGGGGTTCCTAAGACATACATCAAAATAGGGTGACCCCTGCAGGGACTGCTGCTGGGCACACAGACATGGCCGCTCCCCTCGGATCCCTTTAATGGGATACCCCAGGGTTTGGAGGGGCAGGCGGAGACTACAGCCTCCCCTTCATCCAAAACAAAGGATTGCCCCAAAGCCCAACCATGCATTGGGATGTGGCATGATCTTGCTGGCAGACTAGGAACCTTGGACCCTAATGAGAACCACTAGGCACTAGGACAGTGATGGCGAACCTTTTAGAAACCGAGTGCCGAAACTGCAACCCAAAACCCACTCACTTATCGCAAAGTGCCAACACTGCAATTTAACCTGTGTATCTCATACTTCACGTTTCTTCTTTATGACTGCTGTTGTAATAAATAATCCTTCATAAAAGTTACTGCATTACATTCGTCATTAAATTATCTTTCCATTGATATATAATTTTATGGTATAACTCGGTGTTTCCCCCCCCCCTCTACAAAAATGTTCATGGGTACTCTCATTTTGACTCAATAAAATCACCACCAGGGGAAAATAAATACAGTTCAAATTGGGAAAAATAAATACAGTGAGTTTCTTCTCCCGTTAAATTCACAAAATGTTTAGGGCTGTGGGTCCCCCTGCATCCCCACAGAAAAAAATCAGTGGTATTACTCCAAAACAAAGTGCTGTTATGAGCCACCAAACCTCGGAAATACATTTTTTTTCCAGAAGGCGCCACAATTTTGGCCACTAGTGTACGCTGGAGGGCTGTACTAAGAGCCACCCTCTCTCAATTTTTAATATGAGATAATAATGATTGTCTGCGTGCACAGGTACAAATAAACATAAATAAATAATAAATCCAGCCAGATGTGCGGGGTATAAATAATTTATTATTATTATTATTATTATTATTATTATTATTATTATTTGCCATTTCTTCGGCTGCCGTTTGATCGCAGCCTTCACGGAATGGATTTCTCTGTTGGCTTCCGTGGGAAAGCCCAGCAAACATGTCAACCCAGCAGCCCCTTCTTAGATTGCCTACTTTATATGCTTACTGGCCTGGGAGTTAAGCCCTGCTGAATTCAAGACGGCTTACTCCCGAGTAGGAAAAACAGACTGGCAGGAGGCCCTGGTGCATCAAAAGTCAGTGCCTGCTCAGCCCATTGCTTGGCCCTCTCTGGCAAGCATGCCATAGGTTCACCACCACTGCACTAGGGTAAGAAAAAAGGCAGGAAAATGGTAAGTTACCAAATGCTTCTATAGAGTAGCAGCCTTATGCAGAGTCAGATCCCCAAGCTTTCAGCAACTGCGCCGTAAGGCCGATGACCCACCTGTGGCCCAGCCCAATAATAACTGCGACAACCGGCAGCAGTCACACCAATCCCCAAAGATCAGTATTGCCAACACTGGTTGGCAGCCACCGTGATCACTACCGTTCACACTGACTGGTAACTTTGCCAATACTGAAGGAACAAGTTACCCAAACCTGACTGTGCAGTCACCCGAACCGGGCCCCAAAATTCCCAAATTCTTTATTCAAGTATCCATTAGCTAAAATATATTAGCTTGAGCTGTATAACATAAACCCAGCTGTATAAACAAAGCCTTCTCCTTTATCAGTCCATGAAGGCTTAATGGATGGCCTTGTCAGTTCCGAGTGGAGATGGGTTGGCAGATCTGGGTCTTATCTTATAGGTTGTAACTATCCTGACCACGCTGACGCACAGACCTTGCAAGACAGGCCTGTCAACCCCCGCACCCGGGGATGGCGCCAGGAGAACTCCTATAGTTGGGTGACCTTTTTGACCGCAAGATAAGAGTACAGAAACAGGAATTTCTGTCCATGCTCAAGGATGTAAACTTATGTGTACAAACTCATGAGGCTGGATTCCTGAGGAGGGGAAAGGGGACCTGAAGGGGATATAAGCTGTATGTAACTGCTCTTTAAGTGTGCTTGCTGTGACTGATCACGCAGTGCCTTTCTGCTATCCGGAAAGCAGAAATAAACTCTTTCTCTGAACCAACTCTTGGTGTCTATTGACTCCTTCCTCCCTCCCGGGAGCAACGCGCACCCAACCAATGGGAAAAGTCTGAAAGGCTACAATACCTCTAAACTAATGTTGTCTACACTGACTGGCAGCAGTTATCCCAAACAATACTGGCAACCCTGACCAGCAGCTGCCAAACACACTATTGTCCAGATGGCCTGGCAGTCTGGCTGAAACCCCAACGCCAATATTGTCTACCCTGGTTGGCAGCCGCCTTACCAAAACGCCTTGCTTTAGCCCAGTATTGTCTGCACTAACTGGCAACTGCCCCATATGCAAACAAAACCATTGATGACTGCACCGCCTAGTGGCCGCAATCACTCATCCCAATATACTCTTATAAGAATTCTAAGGCCCCAAATATAAAATAAACGTTCATAAATGAACAACGCAAACACATACATATAAACCACGTGTCTGAAATAGTAAGGTAAAGGGACCCCTGACCATTAGGTCCAGTCGTGACCGACTCTGGGGTTGCGGCGCTCATCTCACTTTATTGGCCGAGGGAGCCGGCGTACAGCTTCTGGGTCATGTGGCCAGCATGACTAAGCCGCTTCTGGCGAACCAGAGCAGCACACAAAAACGCTGTTTACCTTCCTGCCTGAGTACCTATTTATCTACTTGCACTTTGGCGTGTTTTCAAACTGCTAGGTTGGCAGGAGCAGGGACCGAGCAATGGGAGCTCACCCCGTCGCAGGGATTCGAACCGCCGACCTTCTGATCGGCAAGTCCTAGGCTCTGTGGTTTAACCCACAGCGCCACCCATGTCCCAACACAAACACATACATATAAACCACATGTCTGAAATAGTACAGGAGAGCAATCCTGAAGTCATTTTGACTCTCCCAAATTGACCTCAAATATTTCTCTGCAAGGAAGAAGGAAATGGGAAAGCCTCTCTGTTGTCTTTTGCTTACCTGTCTTAAAAGCTTATTTGTGTATGAATAGGGTGAGCCCGTGACCTGGATTCAGGAACTAAAAGTATTTACCATCACAAAAAAATGGCCAAGCTGCCCAGGTAAAGCAATCAGTGACCATTAACAGATATACTGGCAAACAGGATTTCTGCTGCAAACCGCCTCCTGTGATGTATTTTTGCTGTAGACCTGCCTCCTTCTGTGATGTATGTATGATGCTTCTGGGGGTGGTCTTGAGCTACAGGGAGGGCAATTTCAAAAGTCTATATAAGGGTTTGCGCACCATTGTTTGGGGTTGCTCCTCCGTCCTGCGTGTGGTGAGTGAGGACCCTGTTGCAACAGTTTAATAAAGATCAGGCTTACTAGCCGCTTTGCTTCTCAATATTCTCTGGTTGGCCTCTGTTATTTTCTCCTACCGATAGGGAACCCACCTAAGGACTCTATATGGATTGTTGGATACCCCATAAGAGAAGAGGAGCAGGTTTTTTCTTACAACAATACCTAAGGCAGCATGTGAGATTCCCACATACACACCAGCCACGCTCCCCAAAAACCAAGCACACTTGCACACCACCCTCAATGCTAGAAAGGAACACCAGCAGTTAGCTCACTGCGCCAAAATAAGGAAAACACACAACCAAAAGTACAGGAAAATAAATGCATGCTAAATGAACTCCCCAAAATTAAAGACGTTGAAGAGTTCACATATGGTGCCCACACCAAGCTTACCTCCAAAGTAAACCAAACAGTCCAAAGTTAAAAGCAACATGCACTAGCAAACCTTAGAGCTAAACTTAAAACAAAAGCCGTAATCCAAATTGCCCTCTTTGTTAACTTATAACTCAACAATCTTATTTATTCCTTATTTATTCTTTTATCATTTAAAGCAGTAGCACTGGTAACTTTAGTTCTATTGCGCACCCACCTGGAAATCAAGGAAGGCCCCAATAGCACTAATATCCAATTCCTGAATTTTTCGATTACTGAAAACCACGTTATGTAAGCAGCAAACAAAACCGGCCTCAAAAAACCCCGCGTTTTTTAGCGACCATAAAAAAAAAAATCACCCCCGCACAGTAAGCATCAAAAGGCCAAGAAAACGCAAGTTTCCCAAAATCCTCAGCACTTGGGAATTAAGGAACTACTCACCCAAGCAAGAAACTCACGTTTCCAACCTCCCTTGCAGCGACAAAGCCGTGGCAAATACGGAAACGGGGACAGCTGGCGAATCCCCCACACCTGCACCTCTCACCGTAATGCCTGCCGGAGGAAGGAAGCCACGCTGCTCTTGGCCGCTGGGCGGGTGGCACAGAAACCAGGCACCTTCACGGAGTCCTCCCCCAATCTTCCTACTCTTCCTCCGAAAAAGCTTGTAAAGGAGAGAAAAAACTGCTGCACCTGGCTAGCGGGCAGCTCAAAGGTTTCTGGCCGGGATGATTGAGTATGGATGCTACAATCACTATCGCCGCTGGATGCTGCCAACGATGATTGCTTCTGAGCCAGTGTGGTGTAGTGGTTAAGAGCGGTAGTCTCGTAATCTGGGGAACCGGGTTTGTGTCCCCGCTCCTCCACATGCAGCTGCTGGGTGACCTTGGGCCAGTCGCACTTCTCTGAAGCCTCTCAGCCCCACTCACCTCACAGAGTGTTTGTTGTGGGGGAGGAAGGGAAAGGAGAATGTTAACTGCTTTGAGACTCCTTCGGGTAGTGTTAAAGCGGGATAGCAAATCCAAACTCTTCTTCTTCTGCCCCCGCCCCTATCAGGAAGGGCAAGGCAGTTCCAGTTCCTACGTCGGGGCCCCAGTGAAGCCTCTGCCGTCCCGCAACGCTGCCATACCAAGAAGGGTGAGTGGACTTCTCTCTCTCTCTCTTACACACACACACACACACACACACACACACACACACGAACGAACAGAAGACAATTAAAAACGACAGTTACTTGATAGGTCATAACACAATGGAATGCCTCTCTATTGTGACTCACAGCCAATCACATGAGAGAGCTGCAGCCAAGGGAAAAGCCTCATGCAAAAAATACCCAGCAAACATTGCCATTTCAGGAAATTAAACCATTATCCTTAGCAGTAGGGTTTGCTCAGCTGTAGCTCAGTACCTGCATGAAGGCAACCTAGCTCCCTAGGACTTGCCGATCAGAAGGTCGGTGGTTCGAATCCCTGCGATGGGGTGAGCTCCCGTTGCTCGGTCCCTGCTTCTGCCAACCTAGCAGTTCAAAAGCAGGTCAAAGTGCAAGTAGATAAATAGGTACCACTCTGGAGGTAAGGTAAACGGCGTTTCCGTGCGCTGCTCTGGTTCGCCAGAAGTGGCATAGTTACGCTGGCCACATGACCCGGAAGCTGTACGCTGGCTCCCTCGGCCAGTAAAGCGAGATGAGAGCCGCAACCCCAAAGTCCGCGACTGGTCCCTTTATCTTTTACATGAAAAAATAAATTCTTCACCAAGCGTAAGCAATGCAAGGTAGTGTGATTCCCATGACCACTGTTGAGGAAAGCCGCTATCGCTGCTTCTTCTGGTAAAGCCCCATTCTGAATGTATTCATTTACTTCCCTCTCCCCTGCCAAAACCAATGTTTCAGCTAATCTTCCGCCTCGCCACCCCCCTTTTTTGAGCCTCTCCCCTTTACGCCAATAAATTCTGCTGCTTGATGTGGCTGCTGTTTGAGGACAACTGGTTTTGGCCACAGTTAACCCCCTTGGCTACTGGGTGGGATTCTAGAAAGCAAACTGGGTCTCAAGCAGCCTTCAAGTCACCGAGGCAATACCAAATTAGGCATACCACTTCTGGATGTTTTCATTTATTTTTTTTAAATGATATTTATTAAAATTTCAGAAACAAAAAATTACATAGTTAAAGAGAAAAGAAACAAAGGAAAAAATAAAAAAGAGAGAAAAAACATACAAAATACAAAGTACAGAAAAAAAATTAAAAAACACTTAAAAACAAATTAATCCTTCCGTATCTTACATTTCATTTCCTTGCTTCCTTGACCTCCTCTCACCTCCCTTTTTTGTATTCCAGTTCAACTGGTTAATTCAGCAATTCCTTTCCCTCTTTGTTTTTGTCTTGGTCCTTTAACTTAATATATTATAGCTTTAGATTCTCACCTATTAACAATCCATTTTTACATACACCTTTATGACATTGCTGCTAAAACCACTTAACTTCATTCTGACATCATTCTAACATTCATTAATTTTGCAATATTTCTGTAAATAGTCTTTAAATTTCTTCCAATCTTCTTCCACCGACTCTTCTCCCTGGTCTCGGATTCTGCCAGTCATTTCTGCCAGTTCCATGTAGTCCGTCACCTTCATCTGCCATTCTTACAGAGTGGGTAGATCTTGTGTCTTCCAATACTTTGCAATAAGTATTCTTGCTGCTGTTGTGGCATACATAAAGAAAGTTCTATCCTTCTTTAGCACCAATTGGCCGACTATGCCCAGGAGAAAGGCCTCTGGTTTCTTCAAGAAGGTATATTTAAATACCTTTTTCAATTCATTATAGATCATCTCCCAGAAAGCCTTAATCCTTGGGCACGTCCACCAAAGGTGAAAGAATGTACCTTCAGTTTCTTTACATTTCCAACATTTATTATCGGGCAAATGATAGATTTTTGCAAGCTTGACTGGGGTCATGTACCACCTGTATATCATTTTCATAATATTCTCTCTTAAGGCATTGCATGCCGTAAACTTCATACCTGTGGTCCATAACTGTTCCCAGTCA